TCAAGTCGAAGCCGGCCCTGAGAAGGGCCTTGAAGCTCTCGCGCAATGAACTGTTAGATGACCTTGCGCAGCAGTTGTGCAATGCTAGGTCCTCAAACGAGAGTAGAGTGGAGTGGAGAGTGCTGTACCAGCTGCAAAGGTTTGGGGGAAAGCGCCCCAAGTTCCAAGTCGACGGGCTTAGGATACGACGAGGTTCTCAGGGCGAGGTTCTTGCCACATCTGGAGATCTCTCGGAGGCCCTCACTGATTATTTCACTGTGATTGAAAATGGGCAGGCACTCAGCTGGGAAGAACTGGTTGGGAGATACAACGCCCTCCCTGAGCGTGGAAATGTGTATCCCAGGGAGTTGGACATGATCACCCCCTTCCGCAGGCTCAAGCACGACATCATGAAGGCAGCCAAGAGGAGAGGTGCTGGGCCTGACGGGCTAAGCAATGATCTGTTCCAGGTCGCTCCGCAAGAATGCACTCAGATACTGCTGCCGTTGTTCGTGAAAGTTGACATGGCGTCCAGAGAGCCCCTGCTGTTCAAAGGAGGTTGGCAATGTGATCTACACAAATCTGGGCCCCCCGAACCCCTGGAGCACTACAGAGGCATCCTGCTGGGATGCCACACGGCGAAGTTGCACCATGCCTTCCTCAGGAGTAAACTTCTAGAGGCAACGATGAACATGCTGTCGGTGGTCCAGCAGGGAGCTCTCCCTCAGCGCGGCACTGACATTGCATCCTTGCATCTTCGGTCGGCCATGTTGGCTGCCAAGGCTAGGAAGCGCACATACTTGTCGCTGTACACCGACCTAAAGGCGGCATTCTACTCGGTCATCCGAGGGTTCGTTGCCAGAATGGCCCAGAGCAGTGAGGACATCCAGAGCACGCTAACGGGCTTGGAGATACCTAGTTGTCTGGAGCCCCTGTGCCATGCCCTAGTCGCCAAGCCTGGAGCCCTAGACGGACTGAGAAGTAAGCACCTTCTGGAAGCAGTGGTTGATGTGATGGAATGCAACTGGTTCCAAGTGCGGGGGAGTACCAGGGTCGTCTCCCCCCGCCTAGGTACGAGGCCAGGCATGCCACTAGCAGACCTCCTGTTCATCATAGCCTTCGACCCAATCATCATCGCGGTCAACAGTAGATTAGCTTCCCTGGGATATCTTCAGAGGACTAAGGATGTGGTCCCGTCTCAGAGGATTTTCAGAGGACGCGATCACGAACATGTAGAAGAAGATGTATGGGATCCTGCCTTCATGGATGACCTCGTCAACGGCATCGAGCTGTTAGACGCTAGGCTCTGGAAGGAGGCGGCCATCGCCCTCGTCACGATCATGTACGAAGAAACCAAGTCTAGGGGGTTCACCATGAACTGGAAGGCGGGCAAGACGGAGCTCATGGCCTTCTTCAGCGGCACAGGTTCCAGGAAGGCACGAGGGGAGTGCGCAGCCTTGGCTGCCACTGGCCTTCTCGCCCCCTCCTTAGGTGTCTCCCTGTGCCTCACTAGAACCTACAAACACTTGGGAAGTTACCAGGACCATCGAATTTCTCTGGGACCTGAGCTGGCGCACCGTTGTCATCAGCAGCGACGCCCCCTAGGGGTACTGAGGCGCACTGTTTTTCCCAGGAAGCAAGTCAATGTAAGGGCCAAGTTAATTTTTGTTACGTCTTTGTGCACGTCGCACCTTCTGTATAATGCCCTCACCTGGCACAAGTTAAACGTGAAACAGATGGCGACCCTTGCCCACAACTATTTGAGCCCGTTTAGATTGGCGGCTGGGCTTGGGTACGACGCTGGCTCTGGCAAGGTTGCTGCAGACCACAGAGTTTTTGCCAAGTGTGAGATCTTGCCCGTCGAGCTGGTACTGAGGCTCAGGCGGCTGCGATTTCTTCCCAGGCTTCTCAAATCGGCGCCTGCGTGTCTGCTGGCGATCCTGGACGAGTTAGCCTCTGTGCCTGAATCATGGTCCGCATTATGTTGCGATGACCTGATATGGCTCAGCAGACACGTGAATCTGGACAGGGCATTCTTACCGTCAGGGCCCCCGGCTTGGTGGCTGTGGCTCCTGAGGTCTAGCAGCAACAAGTTCTGGAAGCGAATTTGCAAGCAAGCTGAATCGGCTGCCAGGGCCAAATTTTTGGACGATCAGCGCCATGAAGAATTCAAAGACGGGTGGCGAAAGTGTTGCATCTCCAAGGGTCTTGCGCTCCCGTCGTTTCTGCGTCCGCCGTCGGCTCTTGCCTTGTATCCCTGCTTGGACTGTGGGGCGGTGTTGGCCACCAAGGGCGCTTGGGCCTCCCATCGCTCGAAGTGCCACCCCCACCTAGATCCCGCCCCCAGCTACGCTTCAGGCACTGTGTGCATGGCTTGCGGTCTCAACTTCCACACGCATCTTAGATCGCTTAAGCACGTTCGGCATGGCTCATCGAAATGCCTGGCGGACCTTATGGCCGTCATCGCACCGATGAGCCCAGAACAACTGATGGCGGCTAAGGCGGAGGACGCGGAGCTAGCACGCACGCTCCGCGAGAAAGGCCACTATGCGGAGTCCGCGCAGCTCCCGCCTGTCCTCACGATGGGACCTAGGCTGAGGGGAGCGGCTGCCTCCAAGGGCCTTCCCACTTGCATGCCGAGAATTTCGTGCCAACCAGTATGCATCCAGGAAGAGATGCCCACGCAGGCAGAGGTCCACATGCCTGTGGCCCCTGGCACTAAATACATTGTGATCCTCCGTGCAGCTCCCAGGAGTCAAGGTGACATCCAGGACAGAGCGGAGAAGTCCAGTGCCATGGTGGGCATGAATGTGTTTGTTTTGTCTATTAATATTCGCGAGCTTTTTCAGGACTCCACTGAGGGACTCCATAAGGAGCTATCGCTCATTAATGATCTCATTCTTGCTGGGCGTCTCATTGGACTCGTGGCGGATTTCTTCCTTTCCTCGTGGGACCCCACCCCCTGCTGCAAAGTCAAGGGCGGTGAGTGCAGGCCTTTAAGGAGTTGCGATGAGCCTTGGGGAATTTCTGCCAGGTCGCCCTCGGAATGGAAGCAGCTGGAGCTCGACAATGCCTGTTTGAGGGCGGCACTGACGCTTGCGCTGTGTGCGGCGTCCTCGGGCCTGGCGGCGTTGCTCTTTTTAAACCCACCTGCTCCGCAAGCCAATCTTCCCTGCATGTGGAAGGTCCCCGAGGTCAGGTTCCTATGTTCCCTGCAAGATACGTCCCCGACGATCACGTCGAGATGTGAGCCCATGGGGGACCGTCAGTGCCTGTGCATGAATGCCATGCCGATCATGGCCCCTACTGACAGCAGCCAGATCGAAGTCTACGCAGCTGCTGTCATCACGCAGGCAGCCTCACAACGCTGTGCCCCCACGCCCCCTGGGGATGCATGGCTGGAGGCGTCAGTTGCCCATCTGTATGCCCCGCTCGATTTGTATTGCGAGTCGGGTTGATGCTGGCCATTGCTGCTCTCCTCGTCCACCGCTACACTTGCCGCCTACCTCACCGCTGACGTATGCATGCGTGGACACCTCGGACATTGGTCCCCTAGGGCTGCGGGAAGAAGAAGGAGGGGGAGGAGGGGGAGGAGGAGGGGAAGGAGGAGGAGTAGGAGGAGGAGGAGGCGGAGGAGGAGGAGGAGGGGAGGAGAAGGAGAGGAGGGAGGGCGAGGAGGAGGAGGGGAGGAGGAGGAGGAGGAGAGGAGGAGGAGAGGAGGAGAGAGGGAGGAGAGGAGGGAAGGAGGAGGAGGAGGAGAGGATGAGGAGGAGGGTGGAGGAGAGGAGGTAGGAGGAGGTAGGAGGCGGAGGAGGAGAGGAGGAGGAGGAGGAGGAGAGAGGAGGAGGAGGAGAGGAGGAGGGGAGGAGGAGAGGAGGAGGAGGGAGGCGGAGGAGAGGAGGAGGAGGAGGAGGAGGGGGAGGAGGAGAGAGGAGGAGGATGAGAGGAGGAGGAGGAAGGAGGAGGAGGAGGAGGAGGAGGAGGAGGAGGGGAGGAGGAGGAGGGAGAGAGGAGGAGGAGGAGGAGGAGGAGAGGAGGAGGAGGAGGAGGAGGAGGAGAGGGAGGAGGGGTGAGGAGGGGGCCCACGAGCGCCCCAGGTTCTGGAAAAGAGCCCGCGGACGTTGCTCTTGGGCGTTGCTTCACAGGGGGTGGGGAGGGGGCGATCCATGGGGGCGTCGATCTGACTGGGGGGTCGCCCCGTGAGCGTCGCTCCTCGGGGGCCCCCCCGCCCCTCCCACGCGACGCCAACGAACTCCGCTCAATTTCTGCATCCGGGGGCCCTCGCCAGGCCCCGGAGAGAGCCGCGGCTGGGTCGCGGAGGGGGGTCGTCCGCGGGCGCCGGCGGGCGAGCCGAGCGGCGCGGCCTCTCGGGGCAGAGGCGCGGGACGCGTCGGGGCTGGAGGCGCGGGTGGGTCACGGGGCAGGTCGCTCTGGACGCCCAAAACGGGTACGGAAAACATCTTAGCTGCCCCACTAGCAACACGCAACACGCAGCGTATTGATACGGAGCTCAACACGTAGACTGAAGACGCGAGTCTGACGCGATACGTTCGCCAAAACGTAGGCCAACACGTTGAGCCAACACGGAACGTATTGACACGGACGTTTTGAGCACAGCACGCGTTGCGTATCAGAACGGGCGCATCGAGGCAGCTAAGGAAAACATGGGTGCAATGCCCAACAACAAATGTTGCCCAAAACCAACAGCGGCCGCTGCTGGGCAGGCGGCACTGTCTTCAATGCATAACGTCCGCGGCGGCGCGGACAGGGAGTCCTGCTCAAGAGGAACAGAACATGCTGTTGGGCATCGTACCCCACTTTTCCGTACCCAGTTCGATCGTCCCGAATCACGGGGCGCGGCGCGGGTGGGCTGCCCCCGGACGCCCCCAAAAAACCCTGAACCCCTCGCTCCCCTTCCCCCCACCCCCCACCACACTCATTCCGTCTCCGACCCCGCCGTCAGCATCCTCAGTCCTCTTCGCATCCTCCATCTCCTTAGCATCGTCTGCGCTGTCATATTCCTAGGTCCATTCATACTCCTTCTCCACCTCGACCCCCTGGTAGTGTTTCTCCTTCCCGCCTCTCCCCCTTCCTCGCGCCAGCGTGACGTAATTACGGTGATCGGCCACACCCGGCCATCCCAAGGAACCGGATCCAAAGCAGGCATCCAGAAGCAAGAGAGAGAGGGGAGAGAAAGAGGGAGAGAGAGAGAGAGAGAGAGAGAAAGAGAGAGAGAGAGAGAGAAAGAACGAGCGAGTGATGCATACGCAGATTTACGTGTACAGATCTGATCCTATCTATATATATGCAGGCAGAGAGAAAAAAAGAGAAAGAGAGAACGAGAGTGAGAGGGAAGAGAGGTATATATAGGTAGAAAGAGAGCGATGCAAAAAAAGGATAGAGAGATATATAACAATAATAACACACTATCACGGCAAAGCAACCGAACAGCGATGTGTAGAAGCATAGCTGGAAACATTGCCTGTGGTATTCATGTAAGAGTGCGGTTGTAGAATTCTGGTGTTCTCGCAGTCGCATTCGGATTCGCAGTGGCAGTCGCAGTGGCAACATCAGCGGCAGTCGCAGCGGCACTGCCAGTAATTGCAGTAGCAATAGCTACACTAGCAGCAGCGCCAGCAGCAGCAACAGTAATAGCAACAGTAGTAGTAGCAGTAGAAGTAGTAGTGATGGTAGTAGTGGTAACAGTGAAGTAGTAGTTGTAGTGTGTGGAGTGAACGAGTAGGAGTGATGGGAGCAGTGGTAGTAGCAGTAGAAACACTGCTTTCGATAACGCTACCACAGGGACACTACGGGAGTGCAGCAGCCACCGCCACTCTGGGTGCTCCGGATGCTGAACGCTGGACGCGCGCAGCTGTTCGTACGGGATCAAAGGCCACCGCTGCCTGTACCTGTCCACGTCCAGGAGCTTCTGCACGAGCTCCGGGGACTGCAAGTAGTACACCCCCGCGGTGCTTCACCAGGGTCCGCGCGGGTCGCGCATTCGCCTCGCCCTCGGACGCGTCGCCCCAGTCGCCTGCAGGGCCCGCGCAGTGCTCGGATACACGGTCCTCCGGCACTGCGCCAAACAGGCTCAGTTTGTGGCCGTGCTCGAGGTAATCTTTCTGCGCGCAGACTACGCAGGCTGCCTCGCATCGGTGTGCTGCCTCGTTGCCCGAGAAACGGTTGCCCTTGCTGCCCGGGTGACAGAACTGCTGGAAGTGAGCAAAATTCTGCACCATGAGAATCTTTTCGTGGGCGGTTATCGGCCTGCAGCCAGCCTTCGCCATCAGGAACAGCACCCGTTTGCGGTATTCCGCCTCGCCCGCGTGGCCCTGCTGCTTGCGCCGCGCAAAGTCTTCCTCTGTAAGAAAGTCGCAGTCGCAGAGCTGGCACACGAGCAGCCCCGTCATGACGGGGCGGTCGGAGAAGACGCGCAGCTGGTCCCCCTCCACCTCGCCGCCGGGAACGTAGCAGCTCTTCCCCGCGGGGGCGGCCGACGCCTTGCGCACCCGCTCCGCGCACCGCTGCGCGAATTCCGCGTGTTGCGCAGAGAGGCTGGACACAAGCTCCTTGTAGGCGGCAAGGCGCCGCAGGATTGCCTTGGTCCGGATGCCGCTCTCGAGCATCAGCAGGTCCTGGTCGATCCTGTTCTGCGCCTCCTCAGCGGACCCTTCCATTGGGTTTGGAAGGCCCTCCGCCTCCGCGATGCGAGTCTTTGTTGTGGCTTCGCTCTCCGCTTGCTTGAAAGCCTGGAGCTCGGCGTCCTGCTCTGGGGAGAACTGGTTGGCCTTCCGTGCTTTCCGGACTTTCTCTGCCAGCTGCCGCTCTGCAAGGCTGCGCCCGGCATACTCCTTCGGGTGGCGGCCGAGGTCTCGCACTTGCTGCATGAGCTCCTCGGTCTTGTCTCGCTTTTGCTGCGTGAGCTCCTCGGTCTTCTGCTTCCGCTTGAGCTCCTCGGTCTCCGTCTGCTGATCAGCACAGCCCAGGGCCCGCAGTTCATGCAAAATGTCTTTGGGGATGCGGTCGCGATGGTCCGAGAAACGTTTGGCCAACTTGTTTTCGGCCCGTTCTTGTTCGGACGTTCCTTTATTTCGCTTCGGTATCCGGCCGAACTGCTTCACGTGCTCGACGAGCGTTTGCAGAGGACCGCTCAATGCAGCACGCTGAGGAGCAGCGCTGTTCCCTGCCGCAGGCTGAGGAGCACCGCTGTTCAATGCAGCAGGGTCAGGAGCACCGCCGCCAGACCGAGAACTATCAGCATGTCCTGGCATTAAGGTGCGCAGTAGGCGCTGCGCAGTTCCTTTGAAAGGAAATCTTCGAAAGCAGGGCTATAGCCAAGAAGGCTACGGGGACGATGATGATGATGAAGATGATGAGTCTTGGAAGTCTGGAAAGTGGAAGAGCACGAACTGGCGTACAGTTGGCTCCGGGCATTCAAAATTTGGCCCGGGAGCGGAGTTCTGGGAAGTGGAAGAGCACGAAGTGACCTACAGTTGGCTCCGAGCATTCAAAATGTGGCCCGGAATGGTGTTCTGGGAAACCCAAGAGCACGAAGTGGCCTACAGTTGGCTCCGGGCATCCAAAATGTCGCCCAGGAGTGGAGTTCTGGGAAACCCAAGAGCACGAAGTGGCCTACAGGTGGCTCCGGGCATCCAAAATGTGGCCCGGGAATGGAGTTCTGGGAGGTCGAAGAGCACGAAGTGTGCGACTGTTTGCTTAAAACGAGCCCGGCCCTCGCCTGTCCGGCTCCCGCCCAGACCCCCCTGGGGAGTCATCAGATGCTCTCTTTTGACCGCATTAGAAACCTATCAGTCTTCGCTGTTAGGTAATATGCAAAAAAAGCAACACTGTAACAAGAATCTGGGCGAAAGCCCCAACAATGTGAAGGTGAGCGTCCCGCGTGGTGGGTACCGCTTTCGGTGGAGCTCCATTTGGGGCCATGAACCGTGTATTGGGTGTGCCAACTGGGCGAGGGGACACATGCGGACCCTTGCCACTGGGGCCTTCGGTGGAGCCCCCTTATGGGGCCATGAAGCGTGTGAGGAATGCGCCAACATGGGCGGGGGGACGCATGCGGACCCTGCCACTGGGGCTTTCGGTGGAGCTTCCCCTAGGGCCACGAACCGTGTGAGGGGTGTGCCAAAATGGGCGGGGGGACGCATACGGACCCTGCCACTGGGGCTTTCGGTGGAGCTCCCTATCGGGACACGAACCGTTTGAGGGGTGCTAAAATGAGCGGGGGGGCGCATGCGGACCCTGCCACTGGCGCCTTCGGTAGAGCTCCCTATGGGAAGACGAAACGTGTGAGGGGTGTACCAAAATGGGCGGGGGGACGCATCCGAACCCTGCCATTGGCGCCTTCGGTGTAGCTCCCTATACGGCCACGAACCGTAAGAACGCTGTGCCAAAATTGGCAGTGCGACGCATGCGGACCCTGCTACTGGCACCTTCGGTGGATCTCCCTATGGGGCCACGAATCGTGTGAGGGGTGTGCCAAAATGGGCGGAGGGACGTATGCGGACTCTGCCTGCCACTGGGGCCTTCGGTGGATCTCCCTATGGGGCCACGAATCGTGTGAGGGGCGTGCCAAAATGGGCGGGGGGGCGCATGTAGACCCTGCCGCTGGGGCTTTCGGTGGAGCTTCCCCTGCGGACACGAACTGTCTGAGGGATGCGCCAACATGGGCGGGGGGACGCATGCGGACCCTGCCACTGGGGCTTCTGGTGGAGCTCCTTATGGGGCCCAGAACCGTGTGAGGTGTGTGTCGAGAAGGGAAGGTGCACATGCAGAGAGCAGAGGCACGATGCTGACGATGGCGATGATGACGATGCTGATGTGGATGGTGGCGATGGCGTTGATGATGCAGATGCTGACAAGGATGATGATGCTTAGGATCATGAGTCTGATGATGATGACGATGATGATGACGATGATGACGGTGATAATGACGATGACGATGAGGACGCGGAATAGGAGGAGGGAGGAGGGGGATGAGGAAGGAGGGAGTTGACGCGGGGCGCTGTTTCTTCACACCGAGGACCCAACAGCACAGGACCGTTGGGAAAAAACAGCAGCAAACACATAGCCAACACACACACACACACACACACACAACCGTACACAAACAAAACGATGGAACAGGAAGTCTACACGGGAGCTGCAAGGGGGAAGGCGCACACCGCAAGTGCGGGCTGTTTAGGTCAGATGCCAGTGCCATCATGCGACCTCTGGAAAGCCATCAGCTGAGCAGCCAGATTGGTAACGGAGACGGACAGACCCCACCATGCCCTGTCGAGCGGAGCTCGCGCTGCCCCCTCGACAGGGCGCACCACGCCACCAGTGTCTGATCCTGCGGGCTTCGACTACGCAGTCCCTCGCCCCTAGATGGCTACGGTAGGAGTAGAACATGTGGAAACATGACGCCAGCGCGGGGGGGGGGGGGGGCGACACAGCTTACCTGTGTTTAAGCCCTGTCGGGTGGGACCGCAGGACCCTATCAGTGGAGCCCTGCCGAAATGATGTGACGCAAGATGCTCAAACGGGTTGCAAGACTGGCTTCCAAGCAAGCTGCTCATCAGGACCCACGTGAGTCGGATCATTGCCGTGTGCTGGCTCGAACCACTGAGGCCACCCTGGTGAGCCAATAAACAGGCAGTTCTGCGTACTTCCACTTGAGGTTAGCAACTGGGGCGTGGTTCCTGCTAGACCGCCACATGTAGTTGGTGCTTGCGCACGTCCGGGCGTCCCAAATATTACCCCACAAGCACCACCCTAAAAAAGATAGGAATTGGAACGTGCAGCAAGGTCTTGTGGGATAGACGAGGGTAACTCTTGAGTATGCTCAATATCGTGCGGGCCATGGTGACACGTGTTCTCCGATCGCAGTATAACACATGCCTCGAGCCAGGCCAACTGCGATGGGCCCTCGCGACGCGACGAACGGCGGAGATGGCAGCGGTGCGATGGCGACGGAACGCACACCACGAGACGTTGACGCATGTGGCGGGTTCCGGACACCCAGAAGCCAAACATGGTGTCGTCTCTTTGGGGAGCGCATCCTTTTGCACCTCCGCCACCCTCCGCCGCCCTCCTGCTGGCTCCCGCCGCGGAGGCGCCTCGTTCCGCTTCCGCCGCCCCGCGCCGCCCTCCTTCCGAGGAGGAGAGGACGACTCCCCCGACCCTCGAGGGCGGGGCCCTTTCTCGGGACGCCCCAGCTGCGACGGGCCCCTGCGACGCGAGGAACGGCGAAGTTAACCGCGGTGCGATGGCGATGAGCGTCACATCAGGAGGCGGAGGAGGAGGAGGAGGAGGAGGAGGAGGAGGAGGAGGAGGAGAAGGAGATGGAGGAGGAGGAGGAGGAGGAAGGAGGAGGAAGAGGAGAAGGAGGAGAAGGAAGAAGAGGAGGAAGAAGAGGAGGAGGAGGAGGAACTGCCCACGCCCCGCTGCAATACCAGGGTGAAACCGGCGGGGGCGCTTCGCGAGTGCGTCGAAGCCGAAGGCTGGCGCACGCCGATCCCCGTCCGAATCGCGCATCCCAACCACCAGAAGAGCCAAAGTGCGGGGGCCCGTGGCAGCTCCCAGGAGGGGCCCGCTGTATCTTGGCTGCGTGATGCCCTGGATTGGGCAGGAGCTGATTCGCAGTAAAAAGACTCCCTAACTCTTCGGGAGGCGACCTACGTTAGGAGGGCCAGACACATTAGGGACGGGGGGGGTGTTATGCCGACGTATCAAGCCAAACCGCCCAGACCTACTATCCCTGATGCGAACAAAAGGCGGGGACCCCAGTGACGCCACGTCTTCACTGCGTTAGTAGGGTTAGAGGATCTTTGATCGTCGACGAGGAGGGGTAGAGCTAAAGGCTTATGTTTCGCCAGGCCCTCCTCATGAGACACCTCGCCCTCCGAAGGGAGACTGGTCCGCGGCCTGACGGCACCTGCCGTCCAACGCCGTGTCCGGGCACCCGAGCTTCTCCACGAGCACGCGGATCGCCGCCTGCAGCGCGGTAGCCGCAGGCCGAACTCGGGAGCAGGACCGGCGGCGAGCGAAGGGGGGAAGTGAGAAGGATGAGGCCTCCTCAGAAGGCCCGAAGTCCCCTGGCCTTCTGAGAGGTTTTCTACTTGTCTCGGCCTTCCCCGAAGACACAGAGAACTTCTCAGAATGCCGCGAGGGCTTCTGAGAAGCCCCCGCCGCCTCTGAGAAGAGGTTCTCCTCGCACTTGCCCCCCCCTCCCGCTCGCCGCCGACAGGAGGGAGTTAGAGCAGGAGGGAGTTGGAGCAGGAGGAGCAGCAGGAGGACGAGGGATGACGAGATGGTGTGGGCCCCGATGCATTCCTGCCACGCAGTCTGCAAGGTCGTCGCCCAAACAAGCATGTCGATAGGAAAAACGACGATTTACCGTTGGAGGGTATGATGGAAGATGCCAGATAGAGGGGCGATGGGCTGGCTAGGTGGCGGACTGGGAGCATTTATGCACAAGGACAATGATGAGGGAGGACAGGGAATAATGAGGCCCATATACGCCCAACGACCACAGTCGTCCTGGGGCTCCGAAAGGGCCCCAAGAAGTTGAAAACAACCAAATACCTCACGTACGCCGTGATTTTGACACGATGAGAACAGGTTTGGGGACTAGGAGGAGGAGGAGGAGGAGGAGGAGGAGGAGGAGGAGGAGGAGGAGGAGGAGGACGAGGACGAGGAGGAGGAAGAGGAGCTTCCATGAGGAGGGAGGGTGCAGGAACAGAGAAAGAGAATGGGGATGGAGGGGGTTACACGCATACGAGGAGGAGGAGAAGAAGGAGGAGGAGGAGGAGGGGGAGGAGGAGAGGCGAAGCAGGAGGCAGGAGGAGGAGAGAAGAAGGAGGAGGAGGAGGAGGAGGAGGAGGAGGAGGAGGAGGAGAAGGAGAGAGGGTGCAGGAGGGAGGAATAGATGGAGGGCGAGAAGAAGAAGGAGGCACTGCATTACGCATGGGTTACGGCCCAAGCCTCCGACGCCCTGATGCTTGCCGCACTGTGGAATCGGTCTGGACCCCCTCCTCCCTCACCACGGCCGCTTTTGCATCCCGAGCCTGCTTCTGACAAGCCCGGGCCCCCCGCGAGAGAGCCCCAAGAGCCCTCAAGAGGAAGAGACACAGAACATACAAAAGCGTCGTCACTGTTCTCGCGGCGAGAGGTCTTCGAGGGAGGGGAGCATACCGAGATCCACGGCCTCGCGGGCTGGGCCCCTGGGCCGCGATCGCATGGATACGGGGAGGTTGTTTCGCAGATGCCCCGCGCGGAACATACCCATGTGACCGCGTATCCACGGGGTCGCGCCCTGGAATCCAGACCGCGAGGGAGTGGATATGGATATGCTCGCCCCTCATGAGGCCTGGGGGGGGAGGCAGGCCTGCGCCTTGTATCGACCAGCGAAAAACCAGCCCGGAGATCGGACATCGGATCGGAGCACGCCCATCTCTGGGGAAGCCAAAAGGTATACCGATACCGCTCCTCCCTGGGGAGGTCTCCGGGGGTGCGCTCTGGCCAGAATCTCGAGGCGAACCCAGCGGTGGCGACGTGCTCCTCCCAGGAGGCCCCAAACAAATGGAAAACAAGGGAAGGGCAGAGGTATGGGTATCTCGTCCTCCTCCGAGGGTCGTCGTGGCGTCGCATCGGCATCGATCCGTCGCGGATCGCGGAGCGGGCCCGGCTCGGGGAGGCCAGACACGGAATCGGCTCATGCTGACCAGCCGCCAGACCACCCCAACCCAGCCCGAAGACCTGACTTTTGGGCTTGGGCTGGGGGGTACGGGTTCCAATGTATGTTTTCTCCATGCTCCCGGACCCCCCCCCCCAAGGTTAGGGCGACGAGATCTATGCATATCCACTGCTCCTGGCCAGGCCAATCCTGGGCCCAGGAGCGGTGTATACGCCCTCCTGGCCTGGCCAGGGAGGCATCTACACAGCTCCTGGGCCCAGGATGGGCCTGGCCAGGAGCAGTGGATATGTATAGATCTCGTCGCCCTAAAGGTGGAAATGGCGGGCAGATTGAGGCCTTCGGGCTGGGTTGCGGTGGTCTGGTGGTTGGTGGCGTGCAGAATCGGACGAGGTCGAAATTTGGAACGCCCGGCATCCGCCGATGTGCATTTTTTTGTTGTCCATCCGCGGCCCGAGAGCTCCCGACCGCTCCCCCTGGGGCTTGGTTTCTTCGCCCCAGAGCAGGGTGTGATCGCCCCAGGGCCTCCTCCTCCTCCTTCTCCTCCTCCTCCTCCTCCTCCTCCTCCTCCTCCTCCTCCTCCTCCTCCTCCCCCATCCTTTGGGAGGGGGCCTAAGTTGGGAGGGCCGGGAGCAGCAGGGATATAGGGGCCGCTCCTGCCGGCGCATCGAGCCAGACCGCCCAGAACTGTGCTGCCTACTGCGAACACGGGAACCCCAGCAAGGCTGCGCCTTCATCGTGCTATTGGGGCTCGGTCCCCTTTAGATCCTCAACGAAAACAAAAGGCCCCCGAAGGCCGAACTCCTCCTCCTCCTCCTCCTCCTCCTCCTCCTCCTCCTCCTCCTCCTCCTCCTCCTCACCAAAGAAACACGCCGGTTCACACGTCAGATCAGCGGAGATCTGGGCGCCAGATCGCATCGCAGCGACAGCACCTCTGGAAGGCCCCCTGTGCGGAGGGGCCTTCAGGTCGGCCCAGAGAGCCTGCCTCTCTTCCAGGCGGCGGGCCCTGGACTCCCGTCGGTGGCACGGCACCCGTCTGACGCGGGGAGGCCCCATCCTGGGGCAAGTTAGGAGGAGGAGGAGGAGGAGGAGACGGGGCGGTCTACGCCAGGATCCCGAGATATCCAACGATGCAGGGGCGAGCCTGGAGCGGCCGCGGCCTGGAGCGCGGCCGCTCCAGTTCTCGACGGAGGTCGCAAGGAGTCCTGCCATCGACGACCAGCGCCTCCTCCTCCTCCTCCTCCTCCTCCTCCTCCTCCTCCTCCTCCTCCTCCTCCTCCTCCTCCTCCTCTTGGGGGCGCATCTTTAAATTCGCAACCTTCCGCCGCCCGTCCGCCGGCTTCCGCCAGCGGAGGCGGCCTCGTTCTACTTCCGCCGCCCTTCCGCCGCCGTCCGCCGCGGAGGAGATAGCAACTCCTTCGACCCTCGAAAGCAAGACCTTTTTGTTGGAAAGCCTCCTATGTAGTTGCACTCGGCGCTGGTTCCCTAATGTCGGACTCTGGGTCCCGTTTTTACGGGCCCCAGGAGCGATCCAAACGGATCCGGGACGCAAAGCCAGCCCCCTGGGGAACAGGGCCACGGATAGAACAAGACAGACTGGGTGCTGTCAGGGCTTACGCCAGGATCAGTCAGCACTTATCCCGGTTCGCAGCGACCAAGCGAGACTGCACTCCTTGCGAGCCGCGCGTATATCCACAGCGATCTTGCCACACAGCGTGCCACGGAGAAGCGCTGGGCAAGCAATGACCACCTCCAGTCGGCGCCGAACCGGCAAGTCGGATCGGCTCGGAATGTGCGTCGCATCGGGCCGCATCGGCACGGGGTCGAAGCCGAATCGCGTCGGCAGCGCCCTGCTGCACAACAGCGCCATGCAGACACAGGGCCGCATTGCATCGCGGGCGTATCGAAACCCAGACATGCAACGTCCTGATGCTTCCTGGACGGAGCCCCCGGAAGTCCCGACCCTTCCCCCGAGGCCGGCTTTTCATCCTGAGCCGCTTTGTGGACGGTCCCGAGGCCCGGCGACGGGCCCCCCCCGGGGCCGAGAAGAGCCCAAAACCTCCCGCCCGGATGTCTTCACGACGCGGGCATGTCTTAGGGCGACGAGATCTATACATATCCACTGCTCCTGGCCAAGCCCATCCTGGGTCCAGGAGCGGTGTATATGTCCCCCTGGCTAGGCCACGAGGGCGTATGCACCGCTCCCGGGCTCAGGATGGGCCTGGCCAGGAGCAGTGGATATGTATAGATCTCGTAGCCCTATGTCTGGGAGCCGAACCGCATCGGGCCAGCCGAGCTCGCCATCGAGTCGGATCGATCGGACCGAAGCGGACCCGTGGCGGCGCGCAGAAAGGGGGGCGGCGCGAGCGCGAGGGGGGCGGCCCTCCGTGGGGGGCCCGGGGGCCCAGGGCAGGGCCGTGTATAGCAAACGCCCAAGGCCGTTCAGTAAACGCCAACTGTCGAGTCCAGGTGTTTTTTCCTCCCTTGCTTCGGAGAGGGCCTGCCCCTTCTCACGTCCCCCGCTCGCTCGACCACAACACGAAGCGCTGCATGATCCAAAAGTCTTCGGAGCTCCGCCGAAAATGGATGCGTGTGCAGCTATAGTCGGCCCGCATCATGAGGATGCGCGATGAGGATACAAGGGCCTTGGACGCCCATCTCTAAGCTTCTCGAGCGGGGCGCGGCCAACGAGAGCGGCCAAGGATGGGCCGAGGAGGCAAGGATGCCAGGGTACCCTTTGGAAGGTTGCCCATCATCACGATGCGGGCTGACTGTATGTCTGTGCAACTTGTTCTCTCTCTGGCCGACCGGCCGGCGAACTCGGCGCGCTTCTCCTCCTCCTCCTCCTCCTCCTCCTCCTCCTCCTCCTCCTCCTCCTCCTCCTCCTGCGAGGTGGTGCGCGCGTGCCCCAGTCCGCGAGCGCCACCGGAGCAGGCAGCCTCCCGCGCGCCATCTCCCTCCCCTTGTTGCGCTCGGCGCCGAGCTTTCTTTGCTTTTTACGGTCGAAGCAGGGCCACAGGGCCGTGGCTCGAGAGCATGGGCCCCATCCCCCCCGCGGGGGCGGGGGGGGGGGCGGCAGGGGAGCCGCAGTTTGGCGGCGATCGAAGGGGGGGGGGCAAGGTGAGAGGGGGAAAGGCCTTCTCAGAAAGCGGCGGGACTTCTCAGAAGCCCCCCCACGCGCCTTCCGAGAAGCTGTTTTTGTTTCTGTCTTCCGGAAAGGCTTCCAACAGAGACTCCTCGGAAGGCCGGGGGACTTCCAGGCCTTCTGAGAAGGCCTTCTCCTTCTCACTTGCCCCCCCTCGCTCGCCGCCGAACGTTCGGGTTACCCCAAGCACAGGGCCGCCCGGGGCGCACGGCCCACCGCGCAGAGATCCGTAAGGGGTGTGCGCCCTGCACAGGACGGCGCGCTTTCGACCGAGCGTACCAAGCCGCAGGGGGGCCCTCCACAGCTCTGGGCACCATGGCCGTGCGGGGGGCTCACGGCGCCGCGATCTTTCGCCACGCGGATTGAGAGGCCTCCCAGATGGGGTTCGGAGGATCGAGCCGCATCGCCGATACATGGGCGATGCATGGGCGATGCATCGGCGATGCACGGGCGAGGCATCGTCGACTTGGGCGATGCATCGGCGACGTCGGCTGGGAGCAAACCAGGCTCCACATCGAGCAAATCGGGCTCCACATCGAGCCGCATCGCCGATGCATCGGCAATGCGGCACGATCCTCCGACCCCATCTCCTCCGACCCCATCTGGGAGGCCTACAGGATTGGGTTCCGGAGGTCCAGACCCCATCCCTGGGACCACTTCCTCCTCTGGGCCAAAATGTGTCACGGCCCTGGACGCCGGCGAGGGCCCCCTTCAGGCCGAAAAGGAAGAAGAGAACTTCCCGTCGTGCTCCTTGTTCTGCGACGAGCGGAGGTCTGGGTCTGAGGGTCTCTTGGGGCTGGCCAGGGACGATACCCGGTCAGACCGATCGGATCGCGAAGGAAGTGGACCCTGGAGGGCAGAGGAGAAAAGAGGAACAAGTCACGACATGAGCATCCGCTTTCGCAGATTCCTGAGACCCCCCCCTCCCCTGGTGCGCGGAACGCGCCAGGAGCGGCGCCCGCGGCGCCGCCAGCGGGGCCCAGCGCCAAACCAAGAAATCCGCGCTCCTCTTCGAGGTAGTTGCAGGGAGGCAGGGTGGAGAATGAAGGAGAAAAAAATGTTTCAGGCCATGCTGCCCAGAGAAGCGTCGCTCCACAATAACTGAAAAATAACGGCTATTCTGACGCGCGGCCAACCCCAGAATTGACGTCTCACTTGAGCTTCCGCCCGCGTCCGCTGGCGGATCCGCCCTCGCCCTGCTTCCGCCGGCCTTCCGCCGCCTTCCGCCGAGGAAGCGGTGCCACCCCCGCGATCCAGCGGAGGCACTCTCGGGGATGGACAAACCCCCCTTTAGCAAAACGTGGTTTAGTGAAAACGACCTGAGGCCCAAACCTGGCGGGCGCAAGCCTGGAAAATAACGGCCACGGCGCCCTCTCGAAAACCGAAAACGGACAATTCACTAATCGACGTGTCACTGTTGGGGGTTCTGTCCACCCCCGACATTCACAGGGGACACGTCGACCCCTGTCCCAGGCTCCTGGGAGGCTCTCGGCTGGACCAGGCATCGGGGGCCCGCGCCTGGGACGTACGATAGGGGGGGGGGGGGGCGCCCAGCCTCGACATGGGGTGCGTCCGAACAGCCCCGGGGGGTAGAGTCGGGGCGTTGACCTGAGGCACCCCAAATAAGGAGCGAGGCCCCTTTTTTCCATGAGTTAAACTCCGATGTCCCATCGAAAACATAGGAGGGGAACCTGAGGCAAGCTGTGACACACTTCAGGAACGCGGAGCCCCTCCCCCACCAACAAGGTTCCTTCTTCAGGGCCCCGACTGTACGGCAGGTTCGTGTCGTGCCCACGTCGACGCTGGTTTCTGACACCGCGGGGATTGCTCCACTTTGAACGATCGGCCTTTGCCGAGACGCAGGATCGTTCCGCCTCGACCGACTCTGGGTCGCCGGCAACGTTCGACGTTGAACGCCGGCCGCGAGGTCGCAGTCGGTCGGCACGACGCGAACCTGCCGCAACTCCAAGGGTTCTTCCATTCTCTGAACGGCCAGACTCTTCGGGCGGACCTCGGGGGCTGGGGCTAGGTCCCCCTAAAGGCGGATTTTGGACGAAAAATGAAAAATTGTCAAAGAAATGCCATGCAATAGTCAACCGTGATATATATATATATATATATATATAGAAATATCGTCCCCAGGCGGTGTTTGTTGGCTATTTTCTTGCCTCCTGATGTCGGGCGTGTCCCCCTTCAGGGGGATTTCCACAAAAAAAAGGTCCAACAATTCTCGAAAAATAATCCCCTGACTATTTTTAAAAGCATTTTTTGATTATTTCTAGGGTACTTTTATTTTTCGTCGAAAATCCCCCTGTAGGGGAAGAGGCCCGACTTACCTGTAGAGGGACGGGCCCGACTTCGGGCCGGGGGGGAGGAACATATACAGCACGCGAGGCGAGGCCCGGGCTGGAGCGCCCCACGCGTGCGCACACAGCGGCAGCATCTCTCGGGCCCGTCGCGGGCCCCGGCCAGGGCCCGACATCGTGGGCCCTGGCCCGGCGAACAGGCCCTCCCGGGCCCTGCAGCCCTCCGCGGAACTGCACGCAGGTTTTGCCGCCCCCCCGTCGCCCCCAGTCTTGAAGGGGCCCTGGGACGCGCAAATAAGTACACACAGATGAAAGGATCCCCCATGGTTTCCCACATGTTCTGGGTTTTTGTCTTCCCCCCCACTTCCCATATCTGCCTACATTTTTTCTGGGGAGTCGACGATTCATTGTGTCTGTGTGTTTCTTCGCCTCCTGGAATCTCAACGTGCAGCTGCGCGGTCGGCGCCGGTGCGCGGACGCCGACGGAGAGCTGGGCGTCACGCGCGTGGGCGTCCGCGCTGAGACTCGGGGGGCCGATGAGGGCGCCGACGCGGCGCGGGGGGAACCTGCGCCGAGTTCCGCGGAGGGATGTGGGCCAGGAGGTCTGGATACGGCGATCCAGGGCCCAGGGAGTGCCTGGCCAGGGCTGGTGGTGGTGTATGGCTGGCGTCCCTCCGGCAGCCTCCCGAATCCCCGCGGAGGCGAGGCCCGTGCGGAAGCGCCCCACGCGTGCACACGGAGGCAGCAGCAGGCCGAGGTGGCCTCCGTCGGCTCGCCGTTGCGCGTGAACTTCCCCTCCTGCGCCGGCGCCCGTCGCGGCGCGCCCGCGCGCGCGCGGACGCGAGCCCCACACCTACACACCAGCTCAGATAGGGGGCCACGTGCGAACCCTGCCCCTACCCCCCCCTCAGAAATCGTGGGGGGTAGGGGTAGGCTGTCGCTCGGGGCTCCTCGGGGCTCCTCCGGGCTTCCTCTGGGCTTCCACTGGGGGGCGTCCGCGGGCAGTGCGTCGGCCCCCGGGGGGAGTCAGGCAGGAGCGGGCGCGTGCCACAGGTCTCGGGGGCAACCCATCTGACCTGCTCGTGACCCTCGCGCGGCATCCCCTTTTCCACCGACGTCCGTGCTCCGTCCTCCGTCTCCACCCTCTCAACTTTCAGGCCCTCCTCCTCCTCCTCCTCAGCCTCATCCTCCTCCTCCTCTTCGTCTGATTCTTCTTCCTCCTCCTCCTCCTCCTCCTCCTCCTCCTCCTCTTCTTCTTCTTCTTCCTCCTCCTCCTCCTCCTCCACCTCCTCCTCCTCCTCGCCCTCCTCCTCCTCCTCCTCCTCCTCTTCCTCCTCCTCCTCCTCTTCCTCCTCCCTCCTCCTCAATCATCTTCCTCCTCCTCCTCCTCCTCCTCCTCCTCCTCCCTCCTCCTCCTCCTCCCTCTTCTCCGCATTCCATAGACTCTCCCTCTCTCCTCCTGCCTCATCCGCCTGCTCATCCTCCTTCCGCCTCCTCACCATCCTCCTCTTCCTCCTCATCATCCTCTTCCTGCTCCTTCCTCCTCATCATCTCGTGCCTCCTCTGTATTGTCTCCTTGCTGTTTGGTTTTTCCTTACTGTCCCTTCCCTTCCTCGCACGCTCCCTACCTGATTTACTCCCTCGTCAATGTCCCTCCACCGCCTCCTCCGTCTCCTCCTCCTCCTCCTCCTCCTCCTCCCTCCTCCTCCTCCTCCTCCTCCTCCTCCTCCTCCTCCTCCTCCTTATCATCATCACCATCATCATCATGATCAATGTGATCAGGTCACCCATTCGGGTAGGGACTTAACAATGAATGGTGTCCCTCGACTCGCCCTGGATCTCCTTTGAACTCTCCTGAGTTACCTGGGGGTACCTTGATTTACCTCGGCCCGTCGAATTTGAGCGTCTACCTCCTCCTCCTCCTCCTCCTCCTCCTCCGTTTCCTCCTTCTCCTCCTCCTTCTCCTCCTTCTCCTCCTCCCCGTCCTCCTCCTCCTCCTCGTCTTTTCTCCTCCTCCTCCAGCTCCTCCTCCTTTCTCCTCCTCCTCCTCCTCCGTTTTCCTCCTCCTCCTCCTCCTCCTCCTCCTCCTCTTTCCTCCTCCTCCTCCTCCTCCTCCTCCTCCTCCTCCTCATCCTCCCCTCCTCCCTCCTCCCCCTCCGCCTCCTCCTCCGCATCCCGGAATTTGAAAACTGTGGGATCGCAAATGGGCTCCGGACGGCTGCCGCGAGTCTAAGAGGAAACCGGGCAGCAAACAAAACTCCAGGATGGGGCGCCGAGAAGCTCGACTGGTCCTGCGGGGGCGGGGAGAGCCAGGGCGATGACGGTGCGCTTCGGTTCCGCTCGTCCTCCCAAGAACGGGCAGCGAACTCGAGCCATCGGAACAGTGGCTCCATCCTCTGTCTTATCCTCCCCCCTCCTCCTCCTCCTCCTCCTCCTCCTTCTTCTCCTCCTCCTTCACTCCACAAGTACTCCATCTGAGTAGTACTGCTCTCCTTCCTCCTCCTCCTCCTCCTCCCCTCCTCCTCCTCCTCCTCCTGCTCCTCCGCCTCCTCCTCCTCCTCCTCCTCCTCCTCCTCCTCCTCCTCCTCCTCCCCCTCCGCCTCCTCCTCCTCGTCCTCCTTCTCCTCCTCCTCCTCCTCCTCTCCACAAGTTTTCAATCTTAGTAGTGATGCTCTCCTCTCTCCTCCAGGGGCATGCTGAAAGAAGCGCACCCCTCTCCGCGCAGTGTGTTTACACACCCGTGCTGGCGCCGATGTGTCCGGGGTCTGTTGTGGCTTTCCGCTCCGAAAGTCCTCGGTCATTCCAGGATGGCGCTCCCGCGCGCTTGGCTCTCGGCGTTCAGAATAGCAATGTCGCCCCAGCGCGGACCATACTTCTGGATCCAAGTGATTCCCCGTCGTCGCTGCCATCTTAACGCTCCTTCTCCGCCTTCCTCTGATCCTCCTGCGCGTCCCGCTCCTCCTGCTCCTGCTGCTGCTGTTCCTCCTCGTTCTTTTCCTCCTTCCGAATGCATCTCCTCCTCCTCCTCCTGCTCCTCCTCCTCCTCCTGCTCATCCTCCTGCTCATCCGTCACTCCGTCCCCTAATGTACACAGATCCCACTTTCAGATAGCGTGTAACACGATAGGGGTCCGTTTGAGGGTTCCAGGCCCGCTATGACAACCGTTGGCGGACAGAGAAAAATCAGCGCGATGTGAATTAATGGGAGGGAAGGGTAGGATGACAGTTGTGGCGCGAGCGCACCTAGCTTGTCTCATTCCCCCATCTCTCCCTCCACCACGTCCTTCCTTAAATCGCACCCCGACTCTTTCATCCTCCTCCTCCTCCTCCTCCAACTCCTCATCCTTCCTCCTCCTCCTCCTCCTCCTCCTCCTCCTCCTCCGCCTCCTCCTCCTCCTCCTCCTCCTCCTCCTCCTCCTCCCCCTCCTTTTTGTCTACCCCCCTCTTCCGAATCCCCCTCCTACTTCTCCTCCGTCAGCTCCTTCTCCTCCTTCTCCTCCTTCTCACATCATAATCACCACCACCATCACCACCATCATCATCATCATCATCATCATCAACATAATCAGCATCATCATCATCATCATCATCATCATCACCACCACCACCACCACCACCACCACCACCACCATCATCATCATCATCATCATCATCATCATCATCATCATCATCATCATCATCATCATCATCTTCATCCTCATCCTCATCCTCATCATCATCACCATCGTCATCATCATCAGCCGCAGCAGCAGCAGCAGCAACATATTCATCAGCAGCAGCAGCAGCAGCAACAGCATCATCACCATCGTCATCATCATCATCAGCAGCATCATCATCACCATCTTCAGCATCAACATAAGGGTCACTATCATCATCGTCATCATCGTCCGCATCATCATCCGCAGCAGCATCATCACCGTCATCACCGTCCTCACCGTCATCACCATCACCATCATCACCATCATCATCAGCATTCTCAGCAGCAGCAGCGTCATCATCAGCAGCATCATCTGCAACATCGGTATCGTCACCACCAGCGGCATCATCTGCATCATCACCATCATCATCAGCATCATCATCAACATCATCATTATTACCATCATCCTCACCATCGTCGGCATCAGCATCAGCATCATCATCAACAGCATAATAAGAATCGCCATCATCATCACGATTACCATCAGCATCCACGGCAACATCATCAGCATCACCAGCAGCATCATCAGCATCAACATCAGCATCATCACCATCAGCATCACCATCATCACCATCATCATCGTCATCGTCATCGGAATCCTCATCCAAATGGTCATTATCAGCATCAGCATCATCATCATGATCATCATCATCAGCAGCAGCAGCATCACCATCATCATCAGCATAATCATCATCCTCATCATTATCATCATCAGCAGCAGCATCGTCGGCATCCTCCTCCTCATCATCATCTTCGTCCTCCTGCTCCTCATATCTCCCCCTCTTCCCACCCTTCCGACTCCTTCTCCATCCCTCTCCCTCCCCCTCCTCCTCCTCCTCCTCCTCCTCTTCTTCTTTCTCCTCCTCCTCCTCCTCCTCCTCCTCCTCCTCCTCCGCCTCCTCCCTCTCCTCCTCCTCCTCCTCGTCCTCCCCATCCTCCTCCCCCTCCTCCTCCTCCTCCTCCTCCTCCTTCTCCTCGTCCTCCTCCCCCTCCCTCCCTCCCTCACTCCCTCCCTCCCCACGCACTCGGCGCTCATCGTTGATGAGCAGGCGCGACTCGTTGCACAGCGCGCCCGTGCGGCAGAACGCCTTCAGGCCCGCGTCCTTGCTCCAGTCGATGGTGAGGCCCTTGACCTTGCAAAAGAAGGAGAAGCGGAGGAGGAGGAGGGGGAGGAGGAGGAGGAGGAGGAGGAGGAGGAGGAGGAGGAGGAGGAGGGATGGAGGAGGAGGAGGAGGAGGAGGAGGAGGAGGAGGAGGAGGGGGGGGATGGGGGAGGAGATGGAGGAGCAAGGATAGGCAAGCCCGATCCACTACTCGCAAGGTAACTGCTCGCAAATTGCCTGGCTCCGCCGCGAGGGATCTGCGACCCATGACATTGGAGGCAAGCGTGTGCTTTTGTTTCGGACGCTTGCGAGCAGGCACTTCGCAAGCAGTGGAACGCCCTCGATGAAAGGAGGGGGGAATGGACAAGAACAGGGGGGAGGATGACAGAAGGAGAGGAAGGATGAAACGGAGGAGGGGAATGGGGATAAGCAGGATCAATCAACACCGAATCGGCATCGGGTTGAAATCGCAACGTGCATCGGATCCAGCCGCACCGGCACGGAGCCGGAGTGGGAAGCGGATCGGCCGCGTCGCCTCGTCTGAACATCTCGCTTGGGAAAGGCTCGGGACGTCATCGCTTGGGAATGGGGAGGTGGCTAGGGACGTCATCGGGTGTCGCGCCGAAGCGTCTTGGGCCAAAACCAAATCTTTTTCGTCTGGTACAGAACTGGTGGTGCGACACGGTGAGCAAACGCTCCTGACCGTGAGGGGGGGGGAGGTCAGCTCCTCTCGAGCCCGAAGGAAGCGCGAAGGGGGCAGGGGGGTGGGGGGTAAGGCTTCTTAGCAGGAGGCTGCTAGTTGGAAGGCGCCGGCCCCAAAGGTAGAGCCAAGGCCCGCGCCCTCTGAGAAGCAGGGGTGCCTCTGAGAGGCCTTCCCTGCTCCCCCCTCCCTACTCCGAGTTTCTTGATAGCGTCGGGGGGGCGTCACCCCCGCCGACAGCCCCACATTGACCCCCGTCGCGGGCAGCCACCGCACGCCGAAGGCGCTCCGACCCCCGTCGCGGCGCGACGGCGAGGCGAGGTCGACCCCCGTCGGGGGGGTACCCCCCCACGCTTATTAAGAAACCCAGAATAGACCCTTCCCCTTCTGTAGCGGCATTAGCCAGCTCGAGCCCGAAGGCAGCGCGGAGGCTCGAGCTCTGGCACGAGACCTATAGGTGCGTTGATGTTTGGTGTGGGAACGTCACGCACCTCATGGCAAAACCATCGAAACCCAAGAGACCCAGGGCACCCTGGAGGCAAGCAGGCTGTTTCTTGGCATGGGTCTCCACTGTAAGGGCACGTCGGGAAGGAGGAGGCGGAGGAGGGCCAATTGACACAACGGCGGCGCTCCCTGGTGTTTCTCGTCATTCTTGGGCCTCCTGGAAGCTTCTCGAAGCAACTCCCTGGGACTCCTCGAAATTCTCTCGCCCTCCTTGGGCCTCCTGGAAGCCAGTTCTCGTCCTCCGTGGGCCTCCTTGGCCTCACACCAGGCAAGCGACTGTTCCCGGGCGAATTGCTGCGCTGGAAAAAATCCCGGAAGCTTCTCGTCGCCACGTCTGGATCCGCCTCCAAAAAACACGTCAGGATGGACCCTGGCTGGGAGGTGTCAGGGGACGGAGTTGAGCAAATGTTCAACTGGGCGGGAAAGCCGCCGTGGTCTCAGCTGGCCACCCTCCGAGGGAGGGGGGAGAGGGGCAGGGGCAGGGGCGGAGACGGTAGAGGGAATCAATTATCGGGGAGACGTAAGACCCGGGTACGGGGGACTCGGAAATCCCCGACGAGGTCGTCAAAAAAATGACGAGGCCGAGCCTGCATTTTGACGAGGCCTCCCGCTGCAGACATCCCACGAAACTCCTCCTCGTCAAAATCCGAGGCGCGGTCGTCAAAAAACGATGGCGAACCCGAGTCCCGGCAAACCCGGGTCTTACGCTCCCCCGAAATTACTGAACACTCACCCCCAAAAAACTCAGAGTTGGCACGCGCGGGGGAGACTGCGGTCGGGGTGCAACTCCTCAGACCCACCGCCAACTTTGAGCATTGGGGGGAGGGCGGAGGCGTTGACAGATGAACGTGGCATACGTGTTCGCTACTTTTGTCCCGAGGCCTGGATTGTGTGGTGCCCGTCCCCCAACGGTCCCGACCCCCCACCTCGGCTCCGAGAACCGAATCTCAGAGCGCACCGAAGAGTGACAGCAGTTCCTCCTCCCTGCTGCCCTCCTGTCATGCGATCTACCCCCTGATGGAACTACTGTATCCCAAAGTGCTTGTGCATTTGCCCCTCTGTGGCCTCCTTCCTTAGCGCGTATCCATATGTATCGCCTGTTCCATCTGCCGCAACTCAACGGAACCATTACGGATGGCCTCGCCAACGGGCGTATACGTGTGGCCCTCTATCTCGCATGTCCTCGGCTTGCGCAGGCCAGGGGATACAGGCAGATCGAGAGAGAGAAGAGAAGAGAAGAGAAGAGAAGAGAAGAGAAGAGAAGAAAAGAGAAGAGAAGAGAAGAGAAGAGAAGAGAAGAGAAGAGACGAGAAGAGAAGGTAAGAGAAGAGAAGAGAAGGGAAGAGAAGATAATGAGATGCTGAAATAAACAAAGAACATGCAGATGCAGATGTCAAGAAGATGGGCGCAAGTACGTCCGCATGGGCGCGCCACACATTCGCATATCCGCGCATGCCCCCGCGCATGACTGAAGACTTACACGGAGGGACGAAGGGAGGGAGGGAGGGAGAGAGAGAGAGAGAGAGAGAGGGGAGAAAAAAAAAGAGAGGGGGGAGGGAAATAGAGAGAGAGAGAGACAGAGAGAGGGGGGGGGGAGGGGAAATATTCTTCAAAAGTAGGGCGCGGAGATGGGAGAGAGGCTAGGAGAGACTGCGCCCGTGCCGTGACTGGGCGGTGGCTGGGACGGCCCTGCGTGGGGGCTGGGCGGTGGCGCCGACAACGATCGACAAAGCGGAAAATGCACCCTGGTCGATGCGATCGATATCCGCGTTTGTCGCAGAGCGAAGGTGGGAGATGGGGGCAAACTACTTCTCCTTCTCCTCCTCTTCCTCCTCCTCATCCTCCTCCTTCGCGATCCAAAGCTCGCCCGTGCAGGCACGGGGCCGCGCGTCCGACGGAGATGCAGCCCAGCGCAAACGAAAGCCAGACCCGCCAGGAGCCAACGTCGCCCATGAGAGAGCAAGCGCCCCGTGCGCCACCTGAGGGGCTGCCCGGGTGTGCCCGTGATGCGGTGCGCGCCGGGGAGGCCCTTGTACTGCGGGATGACAATTAATAAAAAAAGAATGGGGGAGAACGATGAAAAAAATAGTTTTCTGCCATTTCTGCACGATTTTCTGACTGGAGGAGAACGCTTGAAAAAAATAGTTTTCCGGCCCGCGGCCGGTTTTTTCTAATCGTCATCCTGGGCGCCGCCGCGTGAACACGATCCCCGGTCATGTATTACTCGTCATCCTCCATTACGTTGGCTCCGTCCTAAATGCTTTCCGACAGAAGGCTTTCCGTTAGGCGGCCTAGCACGAAGCTGAGCGCTATGGGCCACCGCGCCCCAAAAGGCCCCAGCGGTTTACTCGTCTGAGGTGCCCAGATCTCCGACGTCGTGGTTGTAAAACCAAACGTGTAGGCCCCTCCCCTGGGGCATGCTGTTCGCCCTGGCCGTCCTTGGACGGCCCCGAGGCCTAGCTGGACCCCCCGGCGGCCGAAAAGGTCAGACGAAGCCAGGACGAGGATAGAATCGGGTGCGGATAAAGTCGAGAGTCTCTGAAATCTGGCGGCTCTGGAGCAGGTCTCGGGCACCGTGGCCTTCTCATGAGCGTTCCAGAACGCTGTGAGGGCGTTCTGGCACGCTCTGCAACGGACTTATCCTCGTCTTAGCCCCATCCGATCTGAGGGCGCTCTGGCACGATCTGGAACGGACTTATCCTCGGCCTACGTAGCCCCATCCGAAAGCGGCAAAAAGCTTCCCGCCGTGACTCTGTCTCGGCGCGGGAAGGCTCGGGGTCCCCCTCCTCTGGAGTGCACTCGAATCATACGCGTCTGGCCTCCCACGGCCGGCTCGGGACGAGGCGCGAGAAAAAGCCCTTCCAGAGCGGAGAAAAACCAGGGGGGGGGGCTGGGCAGACTGCTTGGATGCGCTCCCACCTCGACGTGTCTCTTCGAGCGGGGAAGATAGGGCGGGGGCCGACTCAGGGAGGAAACGTCGAGCTCGACTCGTCAAAACATCGCCGGTAGATCGGCGGTGGGCCCCCGGTGGCGCATGCCGCACACGCCTGGGCGAGCTGTGGGGCCTCTGCCGGCGATGAGTGGGCGATTGGGGGTCGATGCGCTCCCCCCCTGAGCCTGACCCCTCCCCCCCCCCCTCACGCTGACCCTGCTTCTCTCTCGCTGCGCCGACCCTGCCACGTCGGAGGCGCGACGTCTGCTCGCGAGCGAGCGCTCCTCCACCCTGCCCCCCCTCGGCTGGCGGAAGCGCGGCAGGGCCGTCTGCGCTGCTGCCAGTCCCAGAGCCGCCACCTCCTCCTCCTCGTCGCCGTCGTCGTCGCCCTCGTCTTCGTCGTGGCCGTCGTGGCCGTCGCCGTCCCGGCCCTCGTCCTCATGACCTCCTCCTCCACCTCGTTCTATACCTCCTCCCTCTCCTCTATGCCTCTATGCCTCCTCTGTCCCCCGCCTCCTCCCCCTCCTCCCTCTCCTCCATACCTCTTCCTGATGAAGAACTCCTCCCTGTCGCACCCCCAGACGCTCTAGCTCAGCGCTGCGCACATTCGTCTTAAGAGATTGCAGCAATTTCACGGATGGCGAGCGGTTCCTTTTCAAAATGAACCAGCGCCACGCATATTTGTTCTAACAGTGTGCAGCGATTTCAAGGAGTCTGATGGCTCACGCTCCAGAAACGGCGTTTTAGGACGATTTAGGACTGTCAGGGCGCCGTCGTCATATTGTTTCGCGGTGTTGAAGTCCCAGATATGATGTTTTGGCAAGATTTAGGATCGTCAGGTCGCAACAGAATCGTTGATGTGCGACGCTGAAGTCTCAGGGATGATGCTTTGGCACGGTTGAAGATTTTCAAACGCTTGTCTTCCAACGGGGCTCTTCCCGCAGTGCAGATCAATCGTTCTTAGACTAGCGCGTTCCACTACTCGCAAAGTAGCTACTCGCAAATAGCCTGGATCCGCCACGGGGGATCTACGATAAATCACATCGAAGCTGACGTGTGTGTTTTGTGTTCTGGCGTCTGCGAGTAGGCACTTTGCGAGTAGTGGAACACGCTCGGTGAAATATAGAAGCCTCCGAAGAGGGAACTTGGAGGGAGGGGTCGGTGCAAGATCGTTGATGCGCCTTGGGTCTACACTGGTTCGTCCTCCTCCGCCCCCACCTGCTCCTCCTCCTCCTCCTCCTCCTCCTCCTCCTCCGCCTCCTCCTCCTCCTCCTCCTCCTCCTCCTCCTCCTCATCCTCATCCTCATCCTCATCCTCATCCTCATCCTCATCATCATCATCATCATCATCATCATCATCAGCATCAGCATCATCATCATCATCATCATCATCATCAGCATCATCATCATCATCATCATCATCATCACATCATCATCATCATCATCATCATCATCATCATCATCATCATCATCCCCCTCCTCCTCCTCCTCCTCCTCCACCTCCACCTCCTCCTCCTCCTCCTCCTCCTCCTCCTCCTCCTCCTCGCCCTCTCTGCCTCCATCGCCCCCCGCCTGGCGCCAGCACCTTCTGGAACACGGGGCGGCCGAGACCGGACGCGCGAGCTCAGGACGGCACGCACGGGGCGCAGCTCTGGAGGCCTAGAAATTGGCACCAACACCAACACAGGAAGTTGCCTCCACATGGGGGAGATGATCCTAGATTTCGGTGCTGGTGGCAATATTTCGGTCACCTTGGAAGCCAGAAGAGTACCACCATCACCGAGATGGGGATCCTCTTCCCTCGGTGGAGGCACACCGCCGACCTTGGTGTTGGTGTCTAGACTCTAGGCCTGCGACAGCTCCCTCCGGCGAAGGCCAGCAGTCGGCGGCGTGCCGAGAGGGGGAGCGACAGGGAGCAGGCCTTCTCGGAGGGCGGCGGGGCTTCTCGGCAGCCGTCCAGCCTGCTGAACAGCACCGTGCGGGGCTTCGGAAAAGGCTCCCCGGACACGGTCGCGTCGCAAAAAATGCAAGACGGGGGGGTTGTGGCCAGTTTCGGCCACAGGGGGCCCTCGCCGGGCCTCGGGACCGTCACAAAAACGACTCAGGACGAAAACGCGGTCCCAGGGAGAGGGTCGGGACTGCGACTGCCAGGGGCGCCGGCCTGAAGAAACCAGGACGTCGCATGCCTGAGTCAGAGAGCTGCGCAGAAGGCCGGAGGGGCCTTCTGAGCCTGCTGAGGAGGTCTGCCGCCGAGCGACAACCTCGAAGCCCCTCCAGAGACCTACAGCGGAGGCCAGCCCACAAGAGACCTTCCACAAGGAGCCCCGCCCTGAGACCCCAGGACCTCCATTGATTTTTGGAGTGGGAGCGTCACGCTTTCCAAAGCCAAACCATCGGAACCCAAGAAACCCAAGGCACCCTGGAGGCAAGCAGAGTGTTTCTTCGCATGGGCCTCCACTGTACCCCCAACGGCTCTGACATTCCTGCCACCCCGAACTCGTGCAGCCTGCAGCTGGCCCACTGAGCAAGTGCGATAGGGAGTCTGCCTCTCGGAAAGCTGGGGGCACGTTCTTCGCTGATCCCTGGACCTGCTGAGGTGTTCCTGGGGGCTTCCGTAGGTCCCTGGGGGCACTGCGGGGCACTGGGTGGTAGGCTGGTGTCTAATTGAGTGCACCATGACACTTGGAAAGGTGCGGGTGGGCGTCGCTTCCAGGACCGAGGTCCAATCCAAGACCTGAGCCGACGATCGCGGACGCTGCCCCTTCGACGGCAACATCGAGCCCAAAGCTCTGACGTCTTGACTTTGGCTCACTACGTGGCTCCCCAAGGCATGAAGCCTGGACCACTTCCCTGGGGCTAGGCTTTCATCCTGGGTCGTTGTCTGACGGTCCTGTGGCCCGATGGGAGCCCCAAGAGGCCGAAGACTGCGGAGAACCTCCCGTCGTGATCCTTGCGTCAGCCCGTGTCCTTTTCGGGCCCGCAGGGGGACCCTGGGGGCCCAAAACGGCAAAAGAGCATCCCGTCGTGATCGCTTAGCGACGCAGGGGGAGGAGGAGGAGGAGGAGGAGGAGGAGGAGGAGGAGGAGGAGGAGGAGAAGGAGGAGGAGGAGGAGGAGGAGCAGGAGGATGAGGAGGAGGAGGAGGAGGCATGGGATAATAGGCGCTGCTCTCCGACGGCTGCGGCAGCATCGGACACACCCGAGAGCTCGGCAACAACTGCCACGGAGCCGTGGGTGCCTCTCCGTGTCGATCGCTCTCCTCTCCCCGTCCTGGGCCGCCTCCTCCTCCTCGTTCTCCGCCTCCTTCTCGTTCTCCCCTCTCTCCCCTCATCCCGGTCATTTGGGCGCCCGAGTTATCCGGGGTAACTCGGGTCCGGGGTAACTCGGGTTTGGATTCCCGAAAAGCGAACCCGAGTTAGCCCTGACCCGAGTTACCCCTGATGATTCGGGGCTCTGAGTCATCCTCCTCCACCACCCCAGACCTCCTCCGCCGTGGCATAACCACGACGGAAGGCTTCTCCCAGTGTTCGGCCTCCCAGGGCCCCTCACGGGGCCCGGGGCCCTGGAAGAGCGGCAGGGATGCAGAACGGGCACGTGGGCAGGGGTTTAGACCTCTTGGGGTCCACGTCGTGGACCCTGAGATCCTGGCGTCTCAATGTTTGTTCGAGCCAGGCGTCTTCGCCTTTTTTCGGGCCCAGGGACCCTCACAGATCGACCGTGCTCGATAAACGTAGCAGAAAGCTGGGGTCCCGGGGTCCAGTCGTGAGTTCTACAATGTTGCATGTTTTGTTGCAACGTCGGACCTCAGGGGCACAATCACGGCGTCACAGGCAGGGGACCTCGTCAGAAGTCTCCTACTCGCGGCCCCCTGCCCTCCACCACCTCGTGCCCGAGTCGGTGCTGCTGGCCCCTCCTGGCCCCTCCGCTCCTGCGGTGCCTCGCGGCGGGTTGACAACCATCGGCCCGGGGCCCCAGCTCGGCGCCGCAGAGAGCCGAGGAGGAGGCATCGAGGCCCTAATTAGCGGCGGCCCACGGCACAGAGAGAGATTGGGAGATGCTCCGGCTCCAGGCTGGCGGGTCGTCCACCGCCTCGACGGCAGCATCCTTTCCATGGTCGTTGTCTCCCCTCCTCGCCCTCGTCCTCGTCCCCGTCCTCGTCCTCGTCCTCGTCCTCGTCCTCGTCCCCTTTCCTCCCCTCCTCGTCCTCGTCCTCGTGCCCGTGCCCGTGGCTCGCGAGGCGCGAGCGGCCATCGCGGCGGCCCACGGCACAAAGAGATTGGGAGATGCTCCGGCTCCAGGCAGGCGGGCCGTCCGCCGCCTCGTCGGCAGCCTCTTCTTCGTGGTCGGCCTCCCCTCCTCGTCCTCGTCCTCGCCCCCGCCGCTCGCGAGAGGCACGAGCGGCCGCGGGGCCCCCAGCAGTGGCGGTCCTCGTCGCTCCGCCGTCGCCCGGCAACACGAGCTTCACGACGACCATCTCATTGGTGGTCAGCGTGCCTCCGACCATCGAGCCGTGACGGAGACGGAGGGGGGAGACGGAAACAGGAGGAGGGAGGAGGGAGGAGGGGAGGACGAGGAGGATGCGGAGGGACGAGGAGGAGGGAGGGAGGACGAGGAGGGGTGACTTCACAACGGCCCTCTCCTTGGTGGTCAGCGTGCCTCCGCCCATCGGAGGAGGCGCAGCAGCAGGCGGTATAGGTCGCCTAACTATTCGCGGGCCGCGCCCCACGAGGCGCGTTCCCCGTGGACCTCCGCCCCCATATCTTTTGGTCGCGCATGTCCTCCGACAGGCGGATTCCACAAGAAAAATCCGCCGGCCCCCTTGTGGGGCCACCAGGCTGTAGGAGCGAGATTCGCAGTTTCCTGTACCAGTTGTAGCTTGTAGTTTCCAGTGTTACAGTTCTGCTTCTTGCTGGTTACTGTAACTTAACTAGTTGACTTATTGCTGGTTACTGCAACTAGTTGATTGACCGCGCGAGGGGGGGGGAGGCCTAAACCGGCTTTTTAGCACCCCCTGGGCGCGTTGTCTGAATTGCTGGGGGGGCTCGACATCGACACCCCTCACGCAGATCCGCGGGGTCAGGGTCCAAAAACACAAGGGATTTGCCACATTGCTGAAATTCGGCGCCACCCCTTACGCAGATCCGCGGGGTCAGGGTCCAAAAACACAAGGGATTTGCCACATTTCTGAAATTCGGTGCCACCCCTCACGCAGATCCGCGGGGTCAGGGTCCAAAAACACAAGGGATTTGCCACATTTCTGAACTTCGGTGCCACCCCTCACGCAGATCCGCGGGGTCAGGGTCCAAAAACACAGGGGATTTGCCACATTTCTGAAATTCGGTGCCACCCCTCACGCAGATCCGCGGGGTCAGGGTCCAAAAACACATGGGATTTGCCACATTTCTGAAATTCGGTGCCACCCCTCACGCAGATCCGCGGGGTCAGGGTCCAAAAACACAAGGGATTTGCCACATTTCTGAAATTCGGTGCCACCCCTCACGCAGATCCGCGGGGTCAGGGTCCAAAAACACATGGGATTTGCCACATTTCTGAAATTCGGTGCCACCCCTCACGCAGATCCGCGGGGTCAGGGTCCAAAAACACAAGGGATTTGCCACATTTCTGAAATTCGGTGCCACCCCTCACGCAGATCCGCGGGGTCAGGGTCCAAAAACACAGGGGATTTGCCACATTTCTGAAATTCGGTGCCACCCTTCACGCACATCCATCGCAAGGCGTGGTAACCCAAACTGCGAGAACTCCCTCGGCCCTTTAATCGCAAGGTGTGGTAACCAAGCCCGTAAACCATACACGTCTTACCAATCGCCAGGTGTGGTAACCCCTCTTGTGATCAGTTGGTTTTGCTGATTGCGAATCGGCTTCGCATGAAGTTTCGATACTGCTTCACGACAGCGCCAAGGCCTCATGACTTAGCTCTTCCATGGCCCATTCTCCGAGAGAGGGGGCCGGCGGCAGGGGGCGAAGCCCTTACGGATCACAAATAGTCAGGAACAAAAAATCAAACATGATCAAAAAAGCATCGAGACATCGTCCCCAGACTATTTCTGACTATGTTGAATACAATCAAAACCCTAATAAACACGCGCGGTAGGGACGCAAGACCCTTGGAAGCCGAAGTTGGGATTTTTGGGGCGGCGGACGACGAGAACCTCAAGGACGCAAGAGCAAGGAAGAGCAAGGACGCAATGGCACCCTGAGCAAAGCCGCGCGTCCTTAGGCACCCTGAGCAAAGCCGCGCGTCCTCATCAGGGGTTTTGACTGCACTCCTCCTGGAGAGGGGCACGCCCGACTTACCCCTGTCCCCACCGCCCCTGGAGGGGCCCCGCTGCGGCCCATGGCTGCGACGCGCGAGCCGCGAGCGCCTCCGCGCCCCCGGGGGTGACCCGGCAGGCGGAGGTGGAGCCGGACTCCCCCGGGCTTCTGTCGGGCGTGCCCCCCTACAGGGGGATCTTCGGCGAAAAATAACAACTGCCCCCAAACATACCCCCAAAAAAAGATCCCAAAATACTCAGAAAATAGTCCCTGGATTATGTTTGGACTATCTTCTGACTATTTTTGGGGGTATCTTTCATTTTTCGTCGGAAATCCCCCTGCAGGGGGACAGGCCCGACATAACCCTGGGCGCGTGTGCACGCGCCACCGCCGCGGCAGCGGGCCAGGCTCGCACAGTGCTTGCCGCCATTTTCGGTGGCGCCCACCGGGCCCACCCTCCTCCGCCGCCCGCCTCCGGTCCGCGGCGGTGGTGGTGCGCTGCTCGTCTCCGTGGCTACGTGGTGACGTGCGGGCCGATTCTTCGGATGTGGAGCTGGAGCTGGAGCTCTGGGGAGAAGAGGCGAAAAGGTCGCGCCCAGCGCGCTGCGTTGACCCTCGTACGCATCGTTGTGTGGCCAACTGCCTCGGAGAGCTCGGTACGACTGTGGAGAGTTCGCGCGGCCGGCAAGCCCGCTACCCTTGTCAGGGTTGTTTGCGTTGGCGATGGCGAGCCATCCAGGAAAGGGCGTGCCACAGCCACTAGTGCTGGGATGCGTGTGGCGTGCGTGCCGGGAGCTGGAGCAGGCGAAGCCCACATCTTGCAAACGACGAGTTACGTATAGTCAGTCACTGGCGGGGAGGGCAAAAGGGGCCGCAACGAGACCACAACCAAACGACACGTCCAGCCGCTGCATCCGAACTGCCCTGGGCTAAAGGAAAGACGCCAGTCGCCGCTGCAGGTCGACGATCGATGAGAGAGCGGGTTGCCGAAAACATAAGACTCCTCCCATCGCCACGCACATATGTGTACGTGTGCACATGTACACACAATTGCATGCAAGCGTCGATAACGACACGTACACGTATATACAACATACATGTATACATTGACATATTATATACGTCCGTCTCTCTCTCTCTCTATATATAGTTCGTCTCTGTCTCTGCATCTCTCTCTCTCACTCTCTCCCTCTCTCTCTCACTCTCGCTCTGTGTAATATGTATACATCTATATATACAAAATAGGTAGATCGCTCTCCCTCTAGCTGTCTCTCTACTTCTTTCTTATATATATATATATATATATATATATATATATATATATGTGTATGTATGTATGTGTTCGCTCCTCTCTGACCACAATGATTCATCGTTTGTTCGTCAAGTTAAAACTCATACACATGCAGCGACGTAACCGTATGAGTTGTTAAATATATGTGTGTACATATATAGATACACAGGTTTGCGTGCACATCTGAAGAAGGCTACTAAATGCCCCGAAGAAACACAGGCGAGAGCCACGCCAGGCCAAAGACGGGCCAAGAGGGGCGCAATACGCACGAAACGGCTCCTTTGACGGGCCAAGGGGGCTCGAAGAGATCCTCCAAGAGACCCCTGTTGGGAGCCACAGTCAATGCGGAATCATGTACTACACTCGCTTGTTGTCTTCAGAGCCTCCAAGACGGCGCACGAGGCCTTCAAGCTAGCCACAATATGCCCAGAAATGCGACCAAGAGGCCTCGAGAGGGGCCCGCGACACCCCCAGGACGACTTGGAGTGACCCAAAGGAGGTAGCCCAAGATGGCCCCAAGACAACCCACGAGAACCTCCACAGGAGCTGCAAACACCCGGCGCATGCCCAAAAACAGCCCCCTCGGCCTCCAAACCGCCCAAAGACAGCTTCAAGAGATACTCCAGATTTCGTAATAAAGGGAGGGGGGTCTCATTTCGGGGGGGGGGGTCTTTTCCAGGCTATCTTGGAGGGCCTGGGGGGGTCTGGGGACGATGTTTTGGAGGGTTCTCCCACGGGGGGGGGGTCTGAAATGGCTTGTCTTGGAGGGTCCAGACCCCCTCCCTTTTATTACGAAATCTGGAGTATCCAACACGGCCCAGAGGAGCCCGATACGGCCAGAGAGGGCCCCAGACGACACAGCAAGGGCACCCAGACGGCCTCACGACGGCCGCGAGACGGGCCCCCCTAGCGACGCTGGATTGGCACAACGACGGTCAAATAATCAATATGTAAACTATGTAATGATGCGTATGTTTGTACACGCGCGCACATATGCATATACACCTACATCTATGTGAACGTGTATGCGTAATCGTACTAATGATACGACGCATATGTATACATGTGTGGCCGCGCCCATGTTTGTAGCGTTGCCAGTTTCGGGCAGTCATACACCCGTGCATGCTGTGTGACCTCTCTCGGGAGCCTTCGGGTGAAGCCATCGGAAGCTCAACGAGGCCATCGCGCGGTATACGCACAAGCGAATCGAATTAGTCCAACGGTAGGACCGCGAATGAGAATCGGATTAACTCTCTGGAAACTGACCCTCGTCGTCGTCCCTGTGCTCTGGCGCCGTCGCCGCCCCGAACCGCAGAAGCCTGTCGCCGCTAAAGCTCCTCGCCCTCCTTGTCAGTGTCGTAATCCTGATCCTCCGCATTCGCCTCCTCCCCTCCTCTTCATCTTCTTCCCCTTCCTCCTACTCTGCATCAACCGTCTTCTCCGCGACTCCTGCGTATCCTCCTCCTCCCCCGCGTCATCCTCCTGCTCCTGCGGTTTCCTGTCTCATCCTCCTGCGTCCTCCTGCTCCGGTTGTCTTCTCCTGTAGAGAGGCTCCCGCCCCAGACTTCCTCAACATTCAAGCCTCAAGGACCCAACAGTCACGACGGCTACAGGGCTCCGATGAGCCCTTCAGTTTAGTGAGATGAGGTGGGCTCCCAATAGACAGGGGCTCCCATTCAAGACTTCCCCGCTGTCCACTCACAGACGAGGCTCCTGGCCAGGACTACCTCAAGATTCACGCCTCGAAAGCCCCAAGTTGGTGACGGTTATGAGGTCCCGATGACCCCATCGGATTCGTAACAAAAGACGGGGCCCATAGGGAGAGGGCTTCCGCTCGAGAAATACTCGCAACTCACTCACGCACGAGGCCCCAGCTCGAGACTTCCTTAACTTGCATGCCCCAAGAGCCCAGAAGTGAAGACGATTACAGGATCCCGATGTCCCCCCCTCGGAATAAAAGCATAAGGCAGGGGGGGGGCATGGACAGGAAAGGTGAGGCTCCCGCACGAGAATTTCTGCACATTCAGGCCACAGGTGCCCAGCAATGACGACAGCTACAGGATCTCGATGACGCCCCTCGGATTGGAAACAATAGTTGGGGATCCCATACGGAGGGGCTTGCGAATTCTGGCCTCAAGAGCTCAACAGTGACGGCACTCATACGATCCCGATGATACCCCTGGGATTGGAAACTCCAGATGGGAACCACGCGGGAAGGGCTCCCGCTCGAGACCTCCCCTAAAGTCTCTCCAGCAGAAAACTCCCGCTCGAGACTTCCTGCATGATTATTCAGGCCTCCGGAGCTCAAACGTAGCGACATCTACTAGATGTATCCCCCACTTTCTCTCCCTCTCTCTCCCTCTCGCTCGCTCTCTCTTTCTCTCTCTCTCTCTCGCTCTCCTTCTCTCTCTCTCTCTCGCTCTCTCTCTCTCTCTCTCAACCACGTCTACTCAGTCACTCTCACCCTGGATGTGCGTAAGCCAGTGCGTGGCAGAAATGCATGCTGTCTGGTTGCTGCAACGCGCCTGTCTTGTCGGAGCAGATGACAGTGGTGCAGCCGAGGGTCTCTACAGACGGCAGCTTGCGGACCTGCCGCGGCCATGCACACCCCTTGATTGAGCAGACAAGGAGAGAGGAGGGAAAAAGGAGAGTGGTGAGGATGCAAGTGGTAGTGAGGCTCTAAGGATAGGATAGCACAGCGTTGCAAAGCAGAAGGGTCTGCCCCGCTGGGAAACAATACCACTGCTGGGAGTGCAGCCATCAGAGCGTCACATTTCGTCACCCTAAAGGAGGGGCGACGGATCCCCCAAGGGCCAGCGACATGACGGAACTTCAAACTCATGTTTGCCAAAGCGTGAGACGACCCACGTCTGCGCGTCGCCAATATACTGAGCCGCAGCTATACACTTACCAACCCTCGCACATGGGTCATAAAAGCCGGGCAACCCGAGAGTTCTCCCACCGTCTAGCCTCTTGGGCATTGATACTCACCCTACACCGGGTGGAAGCTCACCCTTTGGTGATGCTCCTTCTCTTCATCCTTCGCTTGCACCTTCTCCTCCTTATCCGCATCCTGGCTCCTCAGCATCAGTATCATCATCCTCATCATCATCAGCATCATCAGCATCAGCATTCGCATGAGCATCAGCAGCAGCATCATCATCATTACCACCACCACCATCATCATCGATATCAGCATGAGCATCACCATAAGCATCATAATCGTCATCATCGTCATTACAACCATGAGCATCACCAGCCTCATCATCATCATCAACACCAACATCACCAGCATCATCATCATCGTCCTCAACCTCATCCTCATTACCATCACCACCGTAATACACATCCTCATCCTCATCCTCCGCAGCCTCATCATCACCGTCATCACGATCATCATTATCATCACCATCATAATCAGCAGCATCACCACCACCAGCATCATCATCAGCATCAGCAACATCATCATCAGCATTATCAGCTTAACCATCATCATCATTACCATCACCATCACCATCACCATCACCATCATCATCATCATCATCATCATCATCATCATCATCATCATCATCATCATCATCATCATCATAAACAGCAGCATCATCATCATCACCATCACCATCAGCAGCATCATCATCACCGTTATCATCATGACCTTGAGGCTGCGAGGGATGGATCCTGATCCTCCTCTTCCTCCTCCTCTTCCTCCTCCTCCTCCTCCTTTTCCTCCTCCTCCTCCTCCTCCTCCTCTCCTCCCCCTCCTCCCCCTCCTCCTCCTCCTCCTCCTCCTCCTCCTCCTCGACCCTCGCACGGTGTACTCGGAGTCACCCCAGGCACTTCATTGCGAGAAGCGTACGGCGAAGTTGGAGCCCGACACTGCTAGCCTAGCCCCCGATCCAGCCAAAGTGTACGACATGATGGAAGGCGAAGTTAGAGCCCGACAGGGTCAACTGCAATTCCGCCATCAGGGCATTTCTGGGGCGAAGTCGCCGCCCGACGTCGCCAGTGATTTTCGCACGGTGGATTCGAAGCCACTCCAGGCACGTCACTGCGAGAAGCGGAAGGCGAAGTTGGAGCCCGACACTACTAATCACTGGTCCAGCCGACGCGTGCGAGAAGAGGGAAGGCGAAGGCAGAGCCCGACGAGATCACCTGCAATTATGGGATCAAGGCTTTGCTGGGGCGAAGTCGCCGCCCGACGTCGCCAGGGACTGTCGCACGGTGTATTCGGAGCCATCCCAAGCACTTTATAGCGAGAAGCGGACGGCGAAGTTGGAGCCCGACACTACTAGCCTAGCCCCTGATCCAGCCGAAGTGTGCGAGAGGACGGAAGGCGAAGTTGGAGCCCGACGTGATCATCTGCAATTCCGCCATCAAGGCATCCCTGGGGCGAGGTCGCAGCCCGACGTCGCCGGCGACTGTTGCACGGTGTTTTCGGAGCCATCCCAAGCACCTCATTGCGAGAAGCGCACGGCGAAGTTGGAACTCAACCCTACTAGCCTAGCCCTCGATCCAGCCAACGTGTGTGAGAAGAGGGCAGGCGAAGTTGGAATCCAATGCGATCAGCTACGATGCTGGGATCAGGGCGTGATAGAGTCAGATGAGGAGGTGTTTCTCCGTGAGCGAGCTGCCGAACCTAACGAAATTGAACGTCAAAGCATCATTCGAGCCAGTCGTTTCAAGCCCAAGCCTTTCGTACGTCGTGTTGCTCACATTGCGTCGACATCGACAGCCAGTATTGGGAGATGGGTTTCTTTTCAGCGTGGAGAGGGGCGCGGCCAACGTAAGGAATGGAAATGGGTACCTGCACAGGGCCGCTCGCCGACAGATAGCGGAGCCGAGGGTGGAGATCTTCTCTCTGCACTCGGTGCAGCCATCGCATCATAGTCGACGAGGTGAATCGCTCCCTTCGTTCGAGTGCCTTCTGAGGGAAGGCCGCACCGCGCCGAGCGGTCCCGATGTTACCGACACTATCGCCATACCCGTAACCCCGTAACTTCTCCTACTCCTGCTCCTCCTCCTCCTCCTCCTCCTCCTCCACCTCCTCCTCCTCCTCCTCCTCTCCTCCTCTCCATCTCCCCTCCTCCTCCTCCTCCTCCTCCTCCTCCTCCCTCCATCCTCCTCCCCTCCATCTCCGCCTCCTCCTCCTCCTACTCCTCCTCCTCCTCCGCCTCCTCCTCCTCCTCCTCCTCCTCCTCCTCCTCCTCCTCCTCCTCCTCCTCCTCCTCGTCGCGCGCAGCTCGGGCGGGAGGCGACGATGGCGTGGCGCTTCGCCATCTGGCGAGTGCCCAGCGCCAGGCACGTCGTGATGACGGCGGGCAGGCCCTGCGGTCGGCCACCGCCGCGACGCGTCGGCCCCCCCTCGGTCTCCAAACTCTCCCCTGGGAGGAGGAGGAGGAGGAGGAGGAGGAGGAAGAAGAAGAAGAAGAAGAAGAAGAGGAGGAGGAGGAGGAGGAGGAGGAGGGGGAGGAGGAGGAGGAGGAGGAGGAGGAGGAGGACCAAGAAGAAGAGGAAGAGCAGGGGGGGTGCGCGGTGTGTCTGTGTGTGTGCTGGGGGGGAGGAGGAAGCACAAGAAGGACAAGCAACAGAAGCACAGACCCATCGGAGGTCCGCGCGCCTGCCTTGCAGCGACGCCGAACCTCCCCTCCCTGGCGCGCGGAGCGCGCCAGGCGCGAGGCCGGAGGCGCCGCCAGGGGGGATCCAACGCAGGTCCAGGACATCCGCGCGGACCTCTGACAGCGTACGCTTATGCCCTTTCCCCCTTCGAGGGGAGGACCGCAGGAAGAGGACGATGCACGTACACCGATCCTGGCCAGGGCCATCCTGAGCACAAGATCTGTGCATACGCCCTCCTGCCTTGGCCAGGAATGCAAAGGCACCCATCCCGGGCCCCTAGGGTGGATCTGGCCGGACTCGGTGCACTTGCAGTGATCTCTTCGTCCGGGAAGAAAGTGGAGAGAAGGGCTGGAGCATGTGGAGGGGGAACTGCATGGGGAGGGTGCCGCCCCCGCTCCACCCCGTCCCCCTTGTGCCCCACGTGCTCTGCTCCCCGCCTCCTCCTCCTCCTCCTCCTCCTCCTCCTCCTCCTCCTCCTCCTCCTCCTCCCCCCTCACCCGTGTGACGTCACCCCCTCCTCGCCGACTCTTGCTGACCCCCTTCCACTCCAGATGTTTCTTTTCGTCACTGACGTGCGAGGCGGAGGTTTATCCATAACCACCACCTGCGGGATCGATGATCGATATGTGGGGATATGCACTACCTACCGAGGCCCCCCAAAATCGGTAACCCAGGCGGCGGCATGGAGAAACCCCCGCCTCGGATGGAAACTTCATGGCGGAGGTTTAATTTAGTTATGGGCATCCCAGGGCCCCAGGACCGTCGAAACAAAAGGCGCGGAAGGAACATCAACTTCGGCGGTCCACCTTGTCCTGGCGTCCCCCCTCCACCTCGGGCTCTTCTTCTTTCCCTGTTCCTTCTCCCGTCCATCACATTCTCGCGAAGGGCCTGACTTGCCGTGCGGACGTGTGCGTGTGTTCCCCAGATAGGTTCGGTGTCAGGTATCTTTAAACTCTTATAAGACACCGAACGTGGTGAACGCTGGATCTGGAATCGTTCGGACATCTTGGTCTCCCGTGGAGTCCCATGGCTTCCTGTGGTCTCCCGTGCCCCCCCGTACCCCCCAGCGGCCTCCACTCGCATTCATACAAGTAGCATGGCTAGTAGGAAAAGTAGTCGCAACAACCGTATTAGCATCAGCAACCGCAATCGCAATCACGTTAAACCTAAGACGTGTAGTAGCCGTATGGGTAGTAGGTGTTAGTAGCATTAACGCACGAATGTATACGTGTATGATTGTTACGTGTAGTTGTTGTCTGAATTGGCCGTGTGTATCATGGATAGTGGTATGGATTCATCATGATGTCTTGTTCTGGCTGTTGTGAAACATGCGAGTAATGTTCATGACAACCGAATTCGCATTAACATCAATCATCGCATGTTTATGGTTGGTGACAATGAATATCAGGTGGTCAAGCATCGTACTACAAGCGTTGTCAAAGTTTACGCTTGCGGCTCTGGACACGCATTGCACCATCACTTTACAGCGTAACCTGTTTTATGAACGTGACATGGATGGACATATGGCTGGTTTTCACGACGTGCGCCACATGGTTTACAACCGTAGGGTTCATACAAACATGTGTCCTAGAACGAACCACGTAACCATTGCAAGCCTCTAATCGCATACCTGAACACCTGCGAGGTTAGCCAATGACGGACTACCAAACGTTGCGCACACGCACAATGCATGCAAAGCTGTGTACGGCCATACGCCTGAACAGCGTTGTCTCGCACAGTCTCTGTCTCTCTCTCTCTCTCGATGTATACACGTGCATTTATGTATATGTATGTGTGTAGAATGATACACATACCTTACTATATCTCTCTGTCTCTCTCGTTCCCTCTGCGGCACTGGGGTGAAGACCCCCCGGAATCACCCTGAGAGGGGGGCTACCGGTGGGCAGCCGGGATCATCTCCAGGGCTCTGGAGTCAGCAGCCCCGAGCCTTGCAGATAGCGCCCCTGCTACCAAGACGTGCGCCCCCGCGATGGTTTCACAACTTGGGCCCCAGGACCCAACACGACTAGACCAACCCCCCAGAACCAGAAATGCCCATACCGAAAGATATGTGGTGGTCGAGGAACAATTTTCCTGTTGCTAGTGCTGTTCGGTCTTGCACTTTGGAGCCGACGGGCGCGTGGGACAATTTTCACTGGGGCCCGCCGCCTTTGACATTCCTGAAAAAATCTGTCGGTGAGGCATCCGAGCCGCCCCCAGAAGCGTTGTCGCGAAGCGTCGGGCAACGCGCGAGGAGAAAAACGGGGCGACACCGCGAGCGCACCTGCATTGAAACCGCGCGACGCGCCAGAGCACGCTACATCAAAACCATACGACTATCAGGAGCCTATCCTACTCCTCCTCCTCCTCCTCCTCCTCCTCCTCCTCCTCCTCCTCCTCCTCCGCCTCAGGTTCTTTCTTCCACCTTCGCTTCGTCCAACGCCTGAGGCTTAACCGCGACGAGCGGCGTCCACGCCCTCCCGGCGACCGCGCGCGGCGGGGCTGCCCGCGGGGAAGCGGGGGGGGGGCCCAACGCAGAGTCTGTGTTCTGCGGAAGGGGGGGCTACAGAGATTTCCCGCTGTACGCGTCGTTGGGCGCCTCGGCCCCTTGCAGTAGCTGTTCTTCGAAACATTCTGAAGAAATATGGCATCGCCGGTCTCCGCTTGGCATTCGTGGGGCCATTGCGGTCAAGCGCGTCCAAGGCATTTCCTCGATTGATGGCGCGCGAAATCTCAACGTGCCTCCGCATCTGTTCGACTCTGGTCAGACCATTCGCGCAGGGGTCTCACGCAGCTGCAGGGCCCAGCCTCTGGCGCGACAAGCGCAGCGGAACATGTAAATTCCAGCCAGAGAGACCGCGGCACTCAGCGGCCGCGCGAACGACACGCGCGCTAGGGGCAACAGCGAGGTAGAAGCGGCTTCGGCTGATATGCGAGTCGGTATCGCAATCTCTTGAGGGGCTGGGCGAACGACGCCAGGACGCTCATTGGGCGTCCTAAACAACTGGGCGCCGCCGGCGCAAAACGCGACGCCTGGGATCTTCCAGTTCTGAGCTGGCGGCGCTGGCACAGAGCCCGCGAGATACCTTATAATGGAAAAACCAAGGCCGAGCGGGAGCAGGTGTAAGTTTGTGATTCCTGAATGGTCCACGGGAGCCCCGGGCCCAGTGAGGTGCCCCGCGGAAGCTGGAAATTTTGAGAAACCTCCCGCCGTGATTTTTGTTCGCGACGAGAGGTCTGGGCTGGTCGGCCTTCGGGTCATCGCTCGGGCCCCCGGTGGCCGCTCGGGACGATACAGACAGCTCCGGACCGCTGTCGGCGAGGCGCGGCTGCTGGAGAGCAACCCGAAGCGAGAGAACCTTCAAGAGCCAACAACAGTGCCCGAGACTGCTCCTCCTATTTCCTCTACTCCTCCTCCGCCCCCAGACGACGACGACGACGACGACGACGACGACGACGACGACGACGACGACGACGACGACGACGACGACGACGACGACGACGAAAATGCAGGGGGGGAGGTGTGGGTCTGCTGCAAGCTCGCTCGCGGTGCTCCAGATCCTGCCCGCGGTGCAGCCTCGGGGATGGCGGCCACGGCCAGCGCCACCGCGATCTTGAAGTAGTAGATGCACCCCCGGATCACGGAGCCTACCCGTGCCCCCCCGGACGGAGGAGGGGGGAGGACAGAGGGAGGATGGAGGACGAGGTGAGAAGGACGGGGAGGGGACGCGAGGAGGGAGGGGGGAGGAGGAGGAGGAGGAGGAGGGGGAGGAGGAGGAGGAGGGGAGGAGGAGGAGGAGGAGGAGAGGAGGGAGGAGGAGGAGGAGGAGGGAGGAGGAGGAGGAGGAGGGGAGGAGGAGGAAGGAGGAGGAGGAGGAGGAGGGGGGAGGAGGTGGGAGGAGGGAGGAGGGAGGCGCAGGCAGCGCACGCCGAGCCGCCTTCACAGCGGTCAGCAGGCCCAGCGGGCGGCGGGCGCCGCAGGCGGGCGCCCTGCGTCAGGGGCGGCGCGTGGGCACCGCCGCGGGCTTCTCGCGCGGCCGTGCCGCCGCGTCGAGGGGGGGGAGGCTCGGGCGCGGAGGGGGAAGAGTTGGGTCGGGCATGCCCGTCTAGCGGGCGCCTCTTGTGAAGGGGCCCCAGGACACACAAATAAATGCACACAAATAAAAAGATTCCCCATATTTTCCTGTATCTTCTGGGTTTCTGTCTTCGCCCCCACTTCCTATATTTTCCCATATTTTCTGGGAGGTCGAGGATTAATTGTGTCTGTGTGTTTCTTTTCCTCCTGATCTTGGACGAAGAATAGAAAAGAAAGACAGATTCAGACAAGAGTCAAGGCAAACAATCCGTTGACAGGAATATCGCCCCCGTGGTTGAGAGCTGCCTTTGCATACTCCTCCCGCAGAGGGACAGGCCCGACGTAGGGGAGACCGGGAGGGCGGCGCCGGGCCCGGCGGTGGGCGGCGGGCCCGAGCACGGACCCGACTGCCCATGCCGAGGGGGGGGAGGCGGGCGTGCTGCCGGGCATGCCGCCAGCGGAGCGCACGGCCGCGGGGCAGCCGGCCTCGAGGAGGACCGAAGTGGGGCAGCTCGCCAGGCAGCCAAGCGGCCTTGTCTGCCTCGGGACCGAGGTCTCCACCTTGTCCCCAGTAGAGGCTGGCATCTTGGGCCAACATGGCCACGGAAAAAAGGGGAGGAGGAGGAGGAGGAGGAGTTAGAAGGGAGAGCGAGGCGGAGGAAGCAAGAGTAAATGGGGAGGCCGGAAGAGGGATGAGAGAGGCAGGAGGGGGTGGAAAGACAGCGAGCAGGAAAAGAGGGACACGATACTAGGGAGAGGGGGGCACCAGCAGCAGGGGCAGGGGCAGGAGAGAGAAGGAGAGAGAGAGAGAGAAGCGGGAGTGGGAGGGGTAGGAGGCTGAGCAGGAGGACGGGGAGAGGGAAAGCATGAAGAAGGGAAACACGGGACGAGGACTGTGAGCTAGCTTGGGCATGCTGGTTTCGGAATGGCTCAAATGCGCCTGCGGGCAAAGCGCGGAACCGCAGGACTCAAAGACCGACGACATGTGGAGGGGCACCCTCCGGAGGAAGACGCTGCGAAGTTCCTGAGGCAGTCGACAGGAAGATGTGATCAATATACCTGCAGGTGCGACGTACGCCTGCATAACTAGCTAGGTGCCTGGGCGCATGCAGAGAAAGGCTTCTTTACCTTGCTCATTGTTTGATGGAATACTTTTACGGTGAAGCATGAACTAATACAGAAATCACAAGCCCGCTGCGGGGATCCACCAATAATGCCACGTATGTTGGCGGGCTAGCTGGAAGTTGACCTGAGAGAGCGAGCCGACCAGACGGGAAAATGGCAGCAAGGACGGTGGGCATCGCTGGTCGATGTCGCCAAGCCTGCCTCCTCCTCCCCGTGCTTTCCACAGGAGCCCGGCCTCTCGGCCCGGCTTCTGGGCCCCATGGCTGGCCTTGCACGCAGAGCCCCTTGCCAAGTCCAGCGAGGTTGGGGGCTGGCCCGGCCTCATGGAAACGGCGCGTAAAAGCAAGGCGCTGGCCATGCATGGCGCTGACCATCCATGCATGCTCCGCGAGGCCCAGCGAGGGTCGCCCAGAGCCGAAAATAACCCCAGACCGTCCGCCCTGATTTTTCTACGAACCCCGGACGAAAAGTACCCCGGCCGATCCCCGGGCGATCCCCGGCCAGGTCCCCCAGAAAGCTCCAGAAGATGGCAATTGTTCGACACCCCTCACGAGGATCGTGGCTTCCGAGGGGGGAGCCGCAATCGATCACCCCTCCTCTCGCCCCTGCGAGCTTCCCAAGAGGCTCCAGGGCCGCCAAGGAGCTCCAAGAGGCCCCCGAAAGGCTCCCAAGAGGCCCCTAGAGGCCCCCAAGAGGCCCTAAGATGCCCCCACGAGGCCCTCAGGAGGCCCCCAAGAGGCCCCCAAGCGGCCCCAGGAGGACCCCGAAATGCCCCCCCAAGCAAGCAAGCAAGCGCCAGCGATGCTGCAATATGGGCCGGCGGAATGCGCGAAGCGATGGCATATAACCCCAGACCGCCCGCCCTGATTTTTTCTCCTACGACGCGATCACGCCTGGGTCCTTTCTCTGGGCGTGTGCGAGGAGGCACTCTTGCGAGCAGAGGAGCCCGCTCGCTGAACCGAGAGCCCCCCCTGATGGTCCGCTACCGAAAATTTCCGGTAGCGCTCCGCAGAGATCGGTCGCTACCGAAATACCGAAATGTAGCGCCCAATACCGGTATCAGAGCGTTCTGAAATCCGCTATTTCAACGCCCTCAAACGAAGATCCGGTCGCTACCGAAATTCGGGGTGCGTCGAAATCGCTACCGAAAATTTCCGGTACCAGACCATCTGGGCCTGCCGTCGCCCGGCGCGTCTGCACGCGCGCCGACCCGCCGGACGCCTGCCACGCAATGGGCGCCTCGCCGCCGGCGGGGTGCCGGGGAGTGGGGAGGGTGATGGAGGTAGGTTTTGAGTGGAGGAGGGCGAGGACGACGAAGAGGAGGAGGAGGAGGAGGAGGAGGAGGAGGAGGAGGAGGAGAATGAGGAGGAGGAGGAGGAGGAGGAGGAGGAGGAGGAGGAGAATGAGGAGGGGCAGTCGCCCAGCCCCTGCCGACGGGGGGGAGGGGGGCGGCGGTCGGCGCCCTGCTCCGGCGGCACGGCGTGCGCTCTGCGCCGGGGGCAGCGCGTCCGAATGCGTGGCGCCGGCAGCCGGTCGGGCGTGTCCTCCTACATGGGACGCACATGGACATACTAATACTATATGTCCTCCTTGGAGGCGCGCGTCCGACCCGAACATATAGTAGATCCATCTTGTAGTATATCGTTTCCCGAGCGGTGTGGCCAGAAAGCGCCCGCCACGACGCATATACTATAAGATTTCTCGGTGCGCGCGTCGCCCCTGGGGGGGCGACGCACATATAGTATAAGTATGTTGGGGTGTTGCCGACTACAGGCGGATCTGGGACGAAAACTCAAAGCGTGCCAACAAAACTTTGACAAGGAGTAGAAAAAAAACATCCCCGTACTGCTTCTTTTGACCATGTTTGAGCATTCGTGCTGTAGAGGGACGTGCGCTGCTTACCGCTGGCAGCGCGGCGCATAGCGCAGCTCCCCAAGGTGCCCGACCGAGTCGGGCGGCACCTCCGGGCGCTTGCGTCTGCGCCGGTCGCCCGAGCCGGTTCGAAACAAAGGAGAGTAGATGTCACGGCTGGGAGGGCAGAGTAGGTCGCACGGCTGGGATCTTGTGCCAGCGAGGGTTGCTCGAGGTGCCCCTGGGCCCACGAGTTGACAGGCTTCCCCGTGGGTGCCTGCTGGGGCGGGGAGCAGCTCTCCCCATGACATTGGGGCACCAAGTCGCCTCCGCCGCCTCGCGAGAGGGCATGCGCGTCAGGATGTCTTTACGAACAAATTGTTCATGAACTGCCGTATTTTTGTCCTGCATCAGGATGTCCTGTGTCCGAGTCACGCCTCTGGTCCTGGCTGCAGCCGCCGCTACAGCCAGGCGAGGTGCTCCAGGGCGCTCGCCAGGAGGAGCCCGTGCTCGCAACCGGCGCGGGCCCTGCAGGGGGCTCCCTCGAAGGGAGGCGAGGCGGTGAGGGGAGGGGCAGCGGGAGCAAGGAGAGGGACCAGCACGACGGATAGGCTCCTCCTCCTCCTCCTCCTCCGCCTCCTCCTCCTCCTCCTCCTCCTCCTCCTCCTCCTCCTCCGCCTCCTCCTCCCCCTCCTCCTCCTCCTCCTCCTCCGCCTCCTCCCCCTCCTCCTCCTCCTCCTCCTCCTCCTCCTCCTCCTCCTCCTCCTCCTCGTGCTGGCGCTGAGGAGCCCTGGCGCACCTGGGAAGGGGATGGGCCTGACGATGCGACAAGGAGACGGAGGACGAGGAGGATCCGGATGAGCCGCAATCTTACGAGGGGGCGTCGGACGGCAACTTCCGCCTCTCCGGACCCTGGGACCCTCGAAACCACGTCGGGATGCAGCGCTGGCCCTCGGGAAGAGGCCTAGATCTGCGGGTGTCCGCCTTGTGAGCCAAAAGCACGGCGTCAGCGATAAGATAGAGGTCGTGCCCAGAATTCTGATTGCAGCAAGCTCGGGTCGTGTCACCGCGCTGCGTTGCAGAGGAGGCGTTGGTGGACCTTCAGGGCGTAGGGAAGATACGATGAACTCTGGGTGCGTGGGAAGGCTGTCCTGCGAGCGTGGTCAAAACTACGCTGGCTGAGCTCGAGCAACAGCGGGCCAGCCCAGAAAGGAAATAACAAAGAGGAAGAGAGCTGACTGAAGCAAGTTCCGTGGCCCCCCCTCCTGCTACGACGCGTGTGAGGTGCCATCGCCCAAGGTTCCTGGGAGAAGCGCCTGACGCTGAAGTCTGAAATATCTACGGCGACCATACTATGGCCCTCGTGCTGCCACAAGGCGAGCCAGCTGAATAGCGCAGTAGCTCTTCTGGCCACGGCGAGCACCCCAACCCGAGGACCCAAATCTCGGGTTGGGGGGGTCAGGGTTCCATCTGCGTTTTTCCATGTGCCCCGTCTCCCTCCCACTGGAAATGGAGGGCAAGCTGAAGACTTCGGGTTGGGTGGGGGTGGTTTGGTGGGTGGTGAGTTTGCAAGTGCGAGAGACGGAACTCCCTGCGGGCCAGTCCCTTGAAGGCGGCTGGCTGGCCGGCACGTCCCCCCGGCCGCGCGCCGTGTTTCGGGTCGAAGAAGTTCTTGTAGTTAATGAGCCATACCTGGAGGCCCACGGCACGCTCCTTCCGCACTTCCTGCTGCCGAGCCTCCCGCCCACGCATGCCTAGATGGTCCATTCAAGCGGGCTTCCCCTGGCATATGGCCGTCTCTGCGTCCCCATCCACCCTTCATCCTCCCTGCTCGCAGCCAGTCGTCTGTGTCTGCACAAGGGGTACATGTGCAGCGTCATGGTGACGAAAAATACAATCAAGGGCTCTGCATTAGAGGTCACGGCGAGCCCTGAGCTGAAGTGTGATGTCACATGCGATCCCGAAACGTCAGCGTAACCGATAAGGAACGCAAACGCGGTGGCCTGCATATGCCTGTTCAGATGTGACACGCTTGGCGAACAACTCGAGCGACCGTGCTAGAAGAATGTGCTCTCAAATATGGGCAACCACGTACAGCTCTGGATAACCAGCAGTCTTCAGCTCCGTACGATCCGCTGAATCAGGCATCAGACGCAACGCATAATTGACAGCACTGCTTTCACGTTGATGCTGCACCAGAGTGGTGTCGAAACTCTCTGCACACAAGCACGCCGTCGATTTCCTACGCTACGACTGGCTGCGTGTCGTGACTAATGATCTGCACGCAGGCAGGCTACATGCATGCATGGACCTATGTGGGCATGACGGCACGCAGTGTCCTCGGCGTGGATATGCATCCATGAGTGCCTAGACATAAGGCCTTGAGCACACGCGGGCGCGCAGGTGTGAATGCACATGAAGGCGTTTGCTCTCAGGCCAGCGTGCAGACAGAGGAGCACGAGGTCGACGTGCGAGGCCTTGTGTGCGCCTGCGCTCAGGACTGCAAACCGGCAGGTGAGCGTGTGCCTGTACGCATGCGTGCACATGGGTATGCAGGCGTGCAGGTGCGCAGGGCAATCGAACCGCAGTCACGCAACAAAAAGTTAGAAGCACGTACGCGTGTCGGCGCGCACATCACCGCGCCGGGATTAAAAACAGCAAGTGTGCACCTAAGCTGCCAGAAGGTCGGCCACCACGCTTGGCATGGAGACTTCGCGTCAGGGGGGCAGACTGCCAGCAGACCTGCGGAATCAATCCCCATCTGGGGAAGACGGATGCCGAACCAGACCGAGGCCCTGATCGTGCACTCCCGCCTGCCGCAGACTATATGTTCGCTCCCCCTGTGTTCCTTGCTCCTCCCCACCATCGCTGATGACCCCTCGCTCCACCAACAACCCCGCAGATTCTCACGACGCATCCCAGGCAACCACGATGACACACGCCATGCACGCGGAAGAAACCTCTTTTCACCGATTGCACGGGTCCGCCAGAACCATCGCGGGGCCTGGTAGGATCCCGTGAGGGCCCCAGGAGGCCGAACACAGCCAAACACGAACCCGTCGTGATTTCTTCGCGACTCGGGGAGTATGATAATAAAGTGCCAGCGCACCACGGAGACCCTCCTATGAACGCGACAAAGCTCAGTCACGCAGGATGCACGGGGAGGACGCAGGGCACTCGCACATCCAAGTGTGCGACCACTTGAGTAGCGACATCCGCCGAGGATGGGCCGAACAAGCAAGCATGTGAGGCTACGGTAGCCTCGTGTCCTGCTTCCTAGCACCGCATGGGTCGTTCAACCTTGCGGGATCGCGGCTTCCCCGATAGCGCAGATGGCTCGATGTCGGCCGATCCAGGGCCGCTGGCGGCATTCAGTCTTGAACGCCTGCACCGGGGTCGCCGCCGCGTCGAGACGACACGGAGATACCGTACAGCCAGAAGTGCGGTGCAACCTGGATCGTGCGGGTCGTTCAACCTGGAGCAGACGCGGCTTCCCCTATATCGAAGCCCGTTCGACATCGGCCAAATTCCAGGCACTCGTCTGCGCTCAACCTTGAACGCCCGCGCCAAGGTCGCCACCGCATCAACGCGGCCGAGCCTGCCGAAACGCAGCTCTCCGGCTGAAGCGTCTAGAACCGACTTCGGATGGCGGCCTGGCGGCTTCCGAAACTGCTCTCAAGGATCGGGTGACCTGCCGACTGCAAACAGGAGAGCGCAACCACTGCAAAACGAGCCGCGTACCAGCACGCACACGACACCGATGATCTTCGCCAAGACGTTGCCAAACTCGTCCTGGAGTCGGTGAGGCAAGTTGTCAAAAGACCGCGCACGTCGTGCCCCGATCTTGCTCGATCCTTCGCTCGGCATCCCAAGCTCGCTCTCCACCTCGGGCTTCTCGCCAACCCTAGCTGCGTGCACATGTGTGCGCATGCCCGTGCGCTTTCGCCTAAACATCCCGACATGTACCTGCGCGCTGGTGTGCGTGTGAACGCAGATTTGATGTGCATGCGAGCTGCTCGGGTAATCCGTTGAGCGGTATGTTCGAGATGGCATCTAGCAAACCAATCGCCATTCCTGACAACTTGCCCGTGTGGCCTTTTACTTGTGTTTCTCACTGCTGAGTGCGGTCATGCTGGTAAGCGGGCAGACTGGACAGCCCGCGTTGTCTTGCCGTTTGATGCAGGATCTCGATGTCAAGGGCCCGTGCGCCATTGCTCGGCCAGATCCAAGGGCGCAAGTCTCTCTTCGGTGGGGACGCCGCTCGTATAGATGTATAGATATTTGCTCCGCTGATCATGATGCCAGTGGGCGGTTTCTGGTGCGCGCCTACCTTTCGTACGTTTAGTGGGCTGCCGTTCACTAGTGGAGGCCTCCACCCATGCCGACTGCATAATTGCTTGAATCAGGCCCGTGTGGCCCTAATCATTGTATTTTTCATGGTATGAGCTGGGGTGTCTTCTGCTAATCAATGCCAAGCAAGTCCAAGCAATGCAAAGCAATGCCAAGCAATGCCAGTCAATGCCAAGTAACGCTAAGCAATGCCACGCAATGCCGAGCAATGCCAAGCAATGCGACGTGATGCGAGCAACGACGTACGCGTTGCCAAGCAGTCTAAAGCAATGCCAAGCAGTCTAAAGCAATGCCAAGCAATGTCAAGCAATGCCATGCGACGTCAAGCAGTGCGGAGCAATGCAGAGCAGCACAGAGCAATGCAGAGCAGCGCAAAGCAATGGCAAGCAACGCCGGTGAATGCCAAGCAATGCTAATCGATGCCAGGCATGGCCGAGCAACTCCAAGCAATGCAAGACAGTGCCGAACGACGCCGAGCAATGCAAAGCGATGCCAGGCAATGCCAAAAGCAGCCCAACACGATCCCAAGCAGGCAGCCGTGGGAGAAAAAGGCCCGCGTGGCTGGAAGAAGAAACAAACTCCCATAAACATAAACTTTTGGCGCTCCGCGCGGATTTCTTGGATCCGCGCCGACTCCCCCCTCCCTGGCGCGCGGAGCGCGCCGGGGGCGGCGCCGGAGGCGCCGCTGGGGGGCCAAGCGCGGAGCCAAGAAACCAGCGCGGAGCGCCCAAAGTTCGTGTTTATGGCGTTGCCTTCTTCTTCGAGTGGCACCGGCCGAGCTCGACGCTGCGGCCCGCGCGCCCTTCCGCCAGGTGCCAGCCCGCGCCCGAGCGGCGACCCGGGCGGTGAAGCCGGGACGGGCGATCCAGGAGGGCGCTTCCAGCTGGTAGCGTGGATCGTGTGGCAGAGGGTTGTGAGCCCGTATTGCGCTCAAAAGCCAGACGGGCCCCGTCGTCCAACAGCAGCACCTCGGCCAGGAGAGCGGCACGCCGGCGGACGCGCCACTTGGGCGCTCACGCCGCTCCTCCGGAGCACCACTGGGGCCGGTGCAGCAGACATGCTCGCGCGCCTCCCCAACAGACGGCACGGTTCACAACGCACAGGATAGTGAGGATGGCCCTGTCAACCCGTATAGTGAGGATGCGCGGTAAGGATGCAAGCGCCTTGGACGCCCATTTCGAAGCGGGGCGCGGCCGACGAAAGTGGAGAAGGATGGACCGAGGAGGCAAGGATGCAAGGGGTACCCTTGGGAAGGTTGCCTATCCTTACTATGCGGATTGACTGTTATGCCCAGGGTCCAGAAGAAGTTCGCCTAAAGTTCGCCGGGGAAGTTCGGAGAAAGTTTTCTTCTTTTTTTTTAAAAAAAAAGGACATCAAAACCAACAGGGCCGACCCTGACCCCCGCCGCCTCGCCCTCACGGCCTCACTGCTTCAGGTCTGAGCGATCAGCGTGGCCTCACTGCTTAAAGTTTAAGCAGTGAGGCCCTGTTGGTCTCCGTGCCAGCGGTGCTGCGTGGGGCGCCGCGGCTCGGCGGAGGCTCGAGAGCCGCGAAGCTGTGGGCCTCGGCTCGGGCGAGTCGCAACAGACGAGCAGATGTCCCCATCATCATATTGATCATTTTCAGCCTCGTCATCGTCGTCGTCGGTATCGTCGTCGTCATCGTCATCGTCGTTACCGCCATCATTTGTAATCACGGCCATTCTCGTCCTCTGTCCCCAGTCCTGGTAATGTCATCATCACCACTATCAGCATCAGCAGCATCATCATCATCACCCTCCTCAGCATCATCACCATTATCATCTGCATCTTCGGCATAATCGACATCCTGACCATCATCACGATAATCATCATCGTCGTAACCAGCAGCATCGCCATCAGCAACATAATCATAATGATCGTCGTCATCGTCACCACCATCATCACATATCTCATCATCAACGGCATCAGTATCAGCATCAACACCAACATCATCATCACCATACCATCGTCAGCATGGTCATCATCTCCATCATCGTCGTCATCATCAGCAGCATCAACAACATCATCACCATCCTCATCATCATCACCATCATCAAAATGATGATCGTCATCAGCAGCAGCACTATTATCATAAGCCGCAGCACCATCATATGATCATCATCAACATCACGCGCCTGCCTCCTCCCCTCGCCCCCCTGCCCCTGCGTCTCCTGCGGCCACCACGCTGCTCTTCCCCGTCCTCCTCAACCTCCTCCTCCTCCTCCACCTTCTCCTCCTCCTCCGCCTCCTCCTCCTCCTCGTCCTCCTCCTCCTCCTGCTCCTCCTCCTCCTCCTCCTCAACCTCCTCCTCCTCCTCCTCCTCCTCCTCCTCCTCCTCCTCCTCCTCCTCCTCCTCCTCCTCCTCCTCCTCCTCCTCCTCCCCCCCTCCTCCCCCTCCTCCTCCTCCTCCTCCTCCTCCTCCTCCTCCTCCTCCTCCTCCTCCTCCTCCTCGACAAGCGGCCCCGACTGTGCCCAGCCACTTCTGCAAACCCCGGCGCCTCGACGAGGCAGGCACAGGGTAGCAGCAGCGCGCCGCCCCGGCAGCATGGCGCGGATCCCCTCCTCCTCCCCAGGTCTGGGACGCTGCGGCTCTTCCACGGCGTTGACTCACAGAGGTCTACAGTGGAAGCCAGTCCACACGAAACCTTCCACAAGAAACTCAACCCTGAGACCCAGGGGCGTCCATTGATTGTTTGGTGTGGGCACGTCACGCTTTCCATAGCAAAGCCATCGAAATCCAAGCAACCCAGGGCACCCTGGAGGCAAGCAGAATGGTTATTGGCATTGGCCGCCACCGTAGACCGAATTCCAGAGGACCGAGTTTTCATCCCGAGCCATTTTTGCCGACGGCCCCGGCGGTTCCCAGTGATGAGGCCCGCTGGAGACCCAGAACGTCCAAGAACCTCCCTCCGTGAGGTCTTCCACGACGAGAGGAGATCTTGGGGAGACCAGAAGGTACCGATACTGCTACGTACTCCCCGGACCTCTCCCGGGGCGCGCTCTGACCAGCATTTCGAGGCGACTCCAGCGGCGGCGGCGAGGGCCTCCGAGGAGGCCCAGCAAAGGGGGAAAAACCGGGCGGAGGGCAGCGGCAGGGGTACCTCTCCCTCCTCGGAGGTAGGGGCTCTCCTGTGCCTCCCGCTCCGCTTCCTGCTCCTTCGCCCCCCTCCACCGGCGCGGGTGCGCAGGCGGCCGTCGCTACGCGCGTGCCACGTGGTGGAGCGTGGGTGGGCAGGGCGGGGCAGCGCGCGCGCCAGCGCGCGCGACGGGGAGTGTCCAGCTTCTGCTGGAGCGGCGTCTGCTCCTCGTCCTGGCCGGGGGCGAGGGAGAGCGACGAGGAGGAGGGG